TTACAAGGCCCTTTATGTAAAAAAGTTTTTTTTTAAATATTAAAAAGAAAATCCTTAAGTAAGTTTTTTGTTCTTTCTTTATAATATACACTTTTTAAAGGTTCACCAAATATTTTAGAGGCTTTCATTTTTTTTTGCTATGTAATTTTTGAGACCCTCGAGGCAGGTAATCAGCCACTTTTTAGCTAATTATTTGCCCAAAGTCGAAAAATTGATAAAATATACAGTAACACTGTCCTCAATACAATCTCATTGCAGTGCCAATAAAAGACCCTTTTATTTATTCAAATATTTTTCATTGTTGATTTAGTTCCTGTTTGGGTTGTTCTGGATCCATCGTAGGTTGAGAGTATGGTGCCACGAGCTAGAATATACTACGTAGAGTGGCTGAAGCAACGCCATGTTTCAAGAAAATTGAATACACGTCCGCCATTTTCCTTTTAGTCAAGAGGGCTTGGCATTTGTGTTGTGTAAAGGCAACCAGCAGGAATATTCCAAGTTGCCACCAAGAATGCTGTAACCATAGTCACAGCTACTCTATGTAGTATATTCTAACTCGGTATGGGGTATACTTGAGTGAGTTAAGCTTGTACAACTTGAGACTAAGCACTCGGATATATATTTTCATCATATAAACATATTTTAAATTATTCTTCACTACTAATACGGGAGTTATTCTTATGGTCTGTCTCCCGAATGTCGCACATTTCTATCAGACATTCATGTGAAATAAACGTTTCCGGAAATACCACGAGTATTGTATTACAATAAAACTAGATAGACTCTAACAAGACACGAAGATATTTAACATAATTAGGGGCTGTCTGTAAATTACGTTTGCATTTTCCTTTGAATTCACTCTCCCCATTGTACCAGTTTGTCAAAGTTTCCATAACACCCTCCCCTCTTCGGACGTCTAGTAAAACTCAATCCCTCTTCAAAATCTTTATTACTTTATGAATAATAACATTTAATAGAATAAAACTGACATCCATTGAAGTTTAACCCAAATATAGCCTAAAATGTTAAATTTAAAAATGGTAGAGAGATCTGAAATACTGAAATGCTTACTTGTAATAATCCAGTTACAAGATGAAACTTTAAAAGGAAGAATTGTTCTCTTTACTGCTTCATATATGTGGTATATGAAACATTGAGGAACTGTATCGTGATCTGCACAGGAATAAATAAGGTTGCACAATGTAATGATGTAATTTATTTCTTCCTGTTTGTGCTATTGCAATCAGTTTTAAAGTTTTGATTGAACTATGGCCATTGAAATGAATCAATGTTGTGATTCTTGCGATAAACTTCAAAATATACCACACATACATGTATTGTTTTTTGTTTGTATTATTTCATTCTTTTTAAAATATATTATGTGACTTGGAATCAATAAAAAACGAGCAAATTTAGTCTATCAGCTAGACAAAATTTTCTAAATTTGCGTTTTACAAAATCGTTATGTATGGAATTGAATTTCATAAGCATCTAATGATGTTTTGCAATTACAATAGGATCCTTAAAATTGTATTGAATTGATGGAGTAAGGCAACGCAACAAATGAGCAATTTTCCAATTGAAGGGTGCCTTCCGAGAGGACTTCCTTTGGTAAACTGGCCTCTATATTTGGTCTTAGACACGCGAAGAAAACCCAGAAACCTTTAATAGACCAGTTCGTTCTTCAGGCGCGAATTCTCGACTAGTATTCTCTTTGCTCAACTTTCAGTCGATCTCAGCACAGTGGATTCTTCAGGCTTCAGATTTGGTTTATTTGTTAACTGCATCGCGACAGGTGGGCAATCTGCCGAGAGGGATACCTCCCGGAAGAACTTTCTAAGGGAAACTGGCTTTTATTTCCTATTTCAGTGTTACAAATGTAAATAGAAGCCAGAAAACTTTGTGTGACCGGCTCAAACCCATGATTAACTATCAGTGTTCGATGGTTTTATCCACTAGGACACAAGTTGGCCTTCAAGCTTTAGTGTTTGATTACTTTCCTCACACAAACTACCAATATTCGATAGTTTTATCGAATAGGCTATTAAAGCATAATCATACGTTATATTTTTCATATAAATAACACATATTTATATGGAAAATTTTCAAGAAATACTGACACTTTTTAAAAATATACACAACATAAACTTTTCTCTTAATTTCTTTTCAGCACATTAAGAAATGTTTCTGTATTATAATGTACAGTCGATCGCCCTATAACACTGTTGATAATTCCGTTTTATATGAATTTCATGTTGTACGAGTCTCTTAGATTTTACAAATACATGAGCCGTTCACAGCCTGGCACACGTATTTGTAAAATCTAAGTGGCTCGTACAACATGGAATTCATATAGGGGGGTCGACTGTACTGTACACAAAGGTTGATAATGATAATTATTCTACGAACTTTAAACTTCAGAATATTGCAGTTTGTCAATTACGTTTAGTAAAATATATTTATTAGAACTAACAATTACATTTATTAGCATTATAATTATCGCGCACAGGACATGTAAAGAAGGTAATTATAATATTTAATGTTAATTCTAAATTTTTTCTTTGAGAAATTTGGGAGTTGCAATGACATATTTTTGAAATTTACGACAGTTAAATGTTATTAAACTTTTGGCTAAAATAATCTTGTTAGAATATAATAAAACATTGTGGAGAGTAAACACGAACTCAAATATTTGTCTGAAACTGCAAGTGAGAACGAGAAAACCGCTTCAATAATGGCAAACGAGAGAGATGTTGATAAGTCAACTAATGATGAAGATACGCAGAACACGGGAAAAGGAGAGCGCAAGATTGAAATAAGTCACATTCAACGAAAACAACGAAAGACCCGAAAAAAAAAAGATTACTCGAAAGTAATTCTAGTGCTTCATCGGGTGAATATGATTATTTACTTTAATTTCATGTTTCTGTTTATTAAGATGGGAACCACCGCTCTGAAGGATCTTGGATCGAATTTTCGGGGTGCTCTTTTAGCGAGCCTATTATGGGTTCGGCCAGGCCCACAATGGGGCGAACGAATGGNTTTCTGGCAAGCTCAGCATAGGTAATCGTAGTTAAACAGGGGGCGGCATAATCGGTATTGCACACGGGCGTTCAAACAGCTAGCGGCGCCCCTGCCTATTTCCTATTTCAGTGTTACAAACGTAAATAAAAGCCAGAAAACTTTGTGTGACCGGCTCAAACCCATGATTAACTACCACTGTTCGATCCACTAGGAGACAGGTTGGCCTTCAAGCTTTGGTGTTTGATTACTTTCCTCACACAAACTACCAATATTCGATAGTTTTATCGAATAGGTTATTAAAGCATAATCATACGTTATATTTTTCATATAAATAAAACATATTTATATGGAAAATTTTCAAGAAATACTGACACTTTTTAAAAATATACACAACATAAACTTTTCTCTTAATTTCTTTTCAGCACATTAAGAAATGTTTCTGTATTATAATGTACAGTCGATCGCCCTATAACACTGTTGATAATTCCGTTTTATATGAATTTCATGTTGTACGAGTCTCTTAGATTTTACAAATACATGAGCCGTTCACAGCCTGGCACACGTATTTGTAAAATCTAAGTGGCTCGTACAACATGGAATTCATATAGGGGGGTCGACTGTACTGTACACAAAGGTTGATAATGATAATTATTCTACGAACTTTAAACTTCAGAATATTGCAGTTTGTCAATTACGTTTAGTAAAATATATTTATTAGAACTAACAATTACATTTATTAGCATTATAATTATCGCGCACAGGACATGTAAAGAAGGTAATTATAATATTTAATGTTAATTCTAAATTTTTTCTTTGAGAAATTTGGGAGTTGCAATGACATATTTTTGAAATTTACGACAGTTAAATGTTATTAAACTTTTGGCTAAAATAATCTTGTTAGAATATAATAAAACATTGTGGAGAGTAAACACGAACTCAAATATTTGTCTGAAACTGCAAGTGACAACGAGAAAACCACTTGAACAATGGCAAACGAGAGAGATGTTGATAAGCCAACTAATGATAAAGATACGCAGGACACGGGAAAAGGAGAGCGTAAGATTGAAATAAGTCACATTCAACGAAAACAACGAAAGACCCGAAAAAAATTACTCGAAGGAATTCTAGCGCTAAATCAGGTGAATATGGTTATTTACTTTAATTAATTAATTTCTTGCTTCTGTTTATTAATTACAATATTAAAACAAACCGGTTGCTGCTTACTAGAGCGAACCCAAATATATTGATAAAATTACAAAACACATATCCGTAATTGAGAAAATGAGAATAATGAAAAGAGAAGACCAGCAATTCGCTTATGTTTTTTACTTATCGGAAAATAAACAAGAGAATTTCTAGCATAAAATGCGCATTTTTTTAAAATAAAATTTCCATGGACGGCTGGATGGCCGAGCGGTTAGGATGGGAACCACCGCTCTGAAGGATCTTGGATCGAATATTCGAGGTGCTCTTTTAGCGTGCCTATTATGGGTTCGGCCAGGCCCACAATGGGGCGACCGAACCCATAACAGGCTTGCTAAAAGAGGCCCTCTTAGTTCCCACAGGGCGAAAAGTATATATATATATATATATTTTAACTCTAGTGTATGTATATAGTCAAATTAAATATAGACTAGTTTTAATGATAATATTTAAAATTTTAATTATTTTTGAATTCGTACACGTTAGTAAATCAGGAGAAGATGGCCTTCTACCATTACGCATTGCTGCCAGATATCGAGAAAAGGTAATAATAAATAAAAATGTTAATTAATTTTAAGAATAATAAAAAAAATTAAAAGTATTATTAAAAATTAATTAATATCGATTATCGTAAAGTAATAATAATAATAGTAATTTAATTAATTCATGAAATCGAATAATTCAATTCATAAAAAGAAAAAAAAAAGNAATAATAGTAATTTAATTAATTCATGAAATCGAATAATTCAATTCATAAAAAGAAAAAAAAAAGATTTGTATGGCATCACGTGATAAGCTTAAACGGAGGAGAGAAGGCGAAATGTATTAGGAAGATGGACTTTGGCTTTTTCACCGGACTTTTATATTCGTTTTGATCGTCGTCATTATCTTATTTTGATCGAATAATAATGGGATCGATCGTATTAACGACCCTCTCCATATTTCTGGGCTTATTTTTTATCTTCGTAGGTTCTATGAAGCTAACACCAAGTATCAATAGAGATATGCATCGAGAAATTGTAAGCATTCTCGTTTAATCCATTTAATAATAACATTCTTACGCTGTTCATTTCATGTAAAATACATTGTTGTGCAGGTGAATTATACTGTTATTTAGCTCTATTACTTCTAAAGTATTCATGTATAATTTTGAGATGAACTTTATGAACTTTCAAGTTATATAATGAAACTTGAGTGCAAGTAAGATACAATATAATATGGAGTCAGTGGTGCAGTAGTGCATCCGGAGGGAAGCCGAGGGGCCCCGGTAAACTCCGAAGAGAAAGGAAACAAAACACTTATGTTTACCAAAAATCTTTTCCTAATTAATATGTCTTTTTATTTATATTGTGTCGTGTCTTCTATATTACTAATAAATTATTGGTTACGTAAGGTCAGAATATTATGGATTTCGCGTTAAAAAGTTTATCCGTTTAACTAGGGCTGTGGAGTTGTGTAAAAATCTACCGGCTCCGACTCCGACTCCGGCTAAAACACCAAAACTCCACGACTCCAACTCCAACTCCAACTCCACAGCCCTGCCAGGGCTGTAGAGTCGCGTAAAAATCTGCCGACTCCAACTCAGACTCCGACTTTCCCTTACCATCCGACTCCAACTCCACAGCCCAGTGTTTAACTCCATTCCTCCGAGATCAAATCCCGACTGTGTCACAGAGAATTGACAGGGTTAACTGTTCTGAAATGTATCGAACTTTCTTCTTTGTCTTTGCGTTTCCCTGTGTTTTATGTGGGATCGGCATTCCCGTCTTTAATCTGTTTTACTCTACTTCTCTCAATTTGGGTGTCTTCTCTCCCGAGTCCTCTGCCACCTAGTCTCTCCGTCTCGGCTTCCTCCTCTCTATTACTTCTGATATAGTCCTCGTTTCTCTCTGTATGACTGAAGCGTCTTAATCGACTTTCCTGCAAATGGAATAATGAAATGTGTCTGAATACTTTGTGTAATTTATATTATGGTTACGTTCTGACTAAATTATCTTGATGGCAGAAATTGCAGGTATTAAAACTGTTGTTAATTTTACTAAATAATTCTTCGATATTGGTGACGAGATGATTAAATATATCAAATCGATGCATCATCGTATGGTTAGAATAAAAACATGCTTCTTTTTAAATATACCTAACTCGTTTTGTGGGATGACATTCTAAACTAATCAATTCATTTATAATAAGAGATCAAGTATATTTTTTTATATTTGCATGATTTTTATTAATACAGTAATTATAATAAATATCTCCAGAAATACTGCAGGGTTATATATAGATTTGTTAACCTTATATTCTAAGCATTATTTAAATATATACTATATATTCTGTTTACAACATTTAAAAACAATTTTTTAATTATGATTTTAAGTTGTGCAAGTTTAAACTTTGGCACGATTTCAGAAAATAAATATAAATATTAATTAATGCGAGTTTATATAATAAATAATTTAATTACAGAATGAGAAATGATTTTCGGTACTATTTGCTAATCAAAGAAACTAATGCAGAATCTAAATTAATTGTTCAAATTCATTATATTCTGATATCCCAGTAATAACGAAAGAAGTTGTTATTAAAATATTACTTTTAATCTGTTTAAAAACAATGGAATTTTTATTAAGTTTGAAATATAATCAAATAATTATTTCAATGAATTATGCTTCTATTACATTTCCTTGTAATAAGGATTGTAGTAAATAAGTTTTAACTTAAAGAAAAAAAAGGCAATGTTAATACAGGTATACCTCGCCTTACATCAGTAATTGGCTCCAGGAGAGCTGACGTAAGCCGAATTTACTTGTCTCCGAATCTACTTGTCACTAGGCTAAACGATAAATTACCATTCCCGGTTCTGTATTTTATTTATTAATGCATTTTCAATAATATATGGTTAATAAGGATCTATTTTAAGCATACAAACAAATAAATTTTAGTTTTTAATATAGTACAGAAAAAAGTAATCTAAATTTACGAATGCATGTATTGTAAATACAGTACATACTTGTAAATGTATATATTTTAATATGATGTTATGTGCTTTAAACACTTTTCTAGTGATATTACGACTTCACTATTTGTGGCGGACGGACGTAAAGTCGAATAAAATGGCTTAAACTTGATTTTTATTTTTCCATATACTTTTTTGACAATGACGTATAATCGGGAACGACGTAACTCAAAACGACGTAAGTCGAGGTATACCTGTAAGTTACAAAGTTGTAGTCGTAAATCTTCTTCGAATAATTAATAGTTACAAGTCACTGTACATAATATAATTCTTTACTAATTTCTATGTACAGTAGTAAAAAATTTTATATATAAAAATATATTTTTCCTCTTAGTATGTAATAAAATTAATTATAATATAAACTTATTCTTAATTTATAAATTTTATTGTAATAATAATAATAATAATTTACTAAATCTATTAAACTGCTAAATATAACTAGGAAATCATAGAGATGATTGAGATTAGATTATAAAAAAAAATTAACAAAAATTATGAAACTATTAACTACAAGGACATAGTAAACATGCTTGAATCTGAGCCAGGTGCTGTAAAAACATAAAATTAAACTAATAATAATTTTTCATTTTCATACATGTACATTTGCATATACAGTATCAAGTTTTGATTTTTCTATTGGATTTGTGTCTGCATATATTTGTGAAATGCATAAAACAGTAATATTTAACATAGTAAAGTAGAAACATTTCTAAAGATAATACACAATTAAAGTTTTATTATATAAATAGGTTTTTTTTATATACATAAACTGCTCATAACAAGTCAGCATAATGAATTTTATAATTTTTAAAGTAATATATATTGTAGTTAAAATTGTTTTTGATAAAGAAAATTATACATTAACAGTAAGTTTAGACTAGAAATAACTTTTTTCCTTCTAAACTTATTGTTTTATAGTTAACAATAGAATTAGGTCTGCATTTAAAATACATTATAATACAAGTATGTGATGATATTGTTTCTCTATTTAGATGTTATTTATATTTATATAACATCATAAAATATCTGTGGGATAAATTTATTATAAGGTAACATAAACTGTTGATGTTTAAGCTGTAACAATGATAATTGTAATAAGTATGAACTAGCCACTGTAGTTAATTGGCTGAAACAATCAATGCACCTCTAACGGGATGAAGTTTAAAGAACACAAAACATTTCAACCTGGTTGATGGGCCATTGTAATCGGACCAAAAACATTATTGTTTAACTTCACCTACCATTAAAGGTGCATTGATAAGTTCAATAATTATTATATAGCTGAATTAATTATTGAATGTAAACAAAACAGCAGAATTAAACTGTAGAAGAAAGCATTACAGAAAACTACAATTTATTTTCTTAACCACAACAAAATTATATTTAATCAATAGCTTGATTTTTATTTTTATTCATTAAAGAAGAAGAGTTTTGTAGAAATACTAATTAAGGAATCTTATATAAATCTTCAGTAATACTATTTTTTTAGTGTTGTCTGTAAGATAAGAATCTTTCTTATACCTGTGTAGGATAAGCATGATTAAAAGGACATTAAGTAACTTATCTTTTCCTTCGTGTTTCTCTCTCTTACATTCATTAAATCTGTAATCCAACACTGAAAGATAGTAGTACTGCATGTATTGACAATCTTAAATTATTAAGTAAATATTGATTATGTATTTTTTCTCACATTTATTTATTTGATAAGATTCTAAAGAATTCCCTTGTTTTTATATTAAACTTTGTATTATATTTTATTTCATTTACTAAATATAATTATAATTAATTATGTTACTAAGGATATAATTATTATAACTGAAGTTATATTTCTATATATGTGTATGTTAGATAAAGGCTTCTATACCAATCAACGTATCCATGCCAAATTTGGCATAAATATTCTTTGACATTCTAGAAAAAATACTACAGGGATCTCCCACCCCAACTATTGCTAAAGCCCATTCCTTCTTTTGTGTTTTGTAGTTTCATTATTGTAAATATTCGGATCAATAAAAGTATAGCCAAACAATTACCGGATTAAATCGGGCTACGTTACCACTACTAATAATTATTAAATCCCGAGTAATTTGACACTAGAGGTAGGAATTAGGACCTCTACAACTGGACCGATTCTTTTGATCATTGCACCTTGAGATGTTTATATATGTTAATAAATGTACAGTATATTTTATTTGCGAACACAATTCTTTTTATTGGATTTTCTCAACACAGCCTCGTCAATTCCCATCTCCTCAAAAGTTCAAGCAACTCCGGGAACACACAGCTAATTAATTATAATAATTATATAATAGATGTTATAAATTCATTAAACTTTTAGATTAAAATAAAAATGCAGCACTACAGAATATCAAATTGTAAATTTTTATTCGACTTCTTCCCATTTTTTAAAAAAAATATAATTGATCAAAAATTAATTTCAGGCAAATTTTGATAAATCGTTTTTTTTAATTTATCGAGTTAAATTAAATGCTGAAATTAAATTTATTAATTCAAAATCTGTTTAATGATTAAGTCAATTTTAAAACAAATCAGGAAAAGATGAAATTTTAAGATTTTTTTTTTAAAGAAAATGTATATCTAATTTATTGATAATGAACAGTTGCAAATTTAAAAAAAAATGATGAAATCATATACAAGTCTTTTTTAGTAATATACAGATAAAATTAATAGCTAGCCGAACCTTTTACTTAAAAAATAATTAATACTATTAATATAAATCAAATCAAATTTAATTATAAAACTGATATTAAAACCAAGTTGAAACCTCTATACTAGTACATGTACTTTTGAAACATTAAATTTGCAAACATGAGCTGAAAAATAGATTTTATTTACTTTCATATACTTAAACCGACATTGCCTAGCCTATGTTGTTTTCTTGTCTTGTCAGGTTATCAAGACTGCCAAGCTGTGGATAACATTTCCTTCTTGAAATTAATGCATACACCATTTCTAGAAGCTTAGAAAATTTCAAACACATCCATTGATTTAATTTGTTGACATTGAACACTTTTTTTTTTTTTTTTAATAATTTAGCCTGGTCTCAACATGCCGACACTCCTGGCTCGCTGTTTTATTTTTAATTTAAAATTAAATAAAATTATTATTTCTGAATTTTTAACATGAAAGATAAATCTTGTCATAATTTTTTCTTTTAATTTATGGCAATCTGGAATTTTTTTTAAACTTTTAATTTCAACTAATTTTGAATATTGTAAGAGGACTTTCTTTGAATCCTACTGATGTAATACATTTGTTACAGGTTTTTGAGATTTGTTCTATACNTTTTTTTTAATAATTTAGCCTGGTCTCAACATGCCGACACTCCTGGCTCGCTGTTTTATTTTTAATTTATGTTTTCATTTTAATACATAAATTATTTGTTTGTCAAATTTTGAAATATGTGAGTCGTTAAATGTTGTAAATTTGAAATAAGCTGTTAGAACTCTGTTTTTTTTTTTCTGTAATTTGTGATTTATGTGTTTTTAACCCGAGGCTGACCTCTGAATGGCTTCAAAAACATTTGTTTTAATTGTATTGCTGGAAAAGTATATAAGTTGTAGAGTTATTGGTATATTGATTTCCAGTTTTCTGCAAGTGTTTTGTTTTATATCTAATTATTAAATTAGTCTTATTATAGTCCAATAATATGGCAGATCATTTATAGTCATTAATAAAACATGGGAGATAAACAATTAGACATGAAGCAATCACAAGAAACATTTTACAGTATTAAAAAACTTGGTCTTTTAGTACTTTTAGTACCTTGTAATGTAAAAATTACATATGTTTTTAGAGACTAATGATTTTTGGGATAACTCTTAGTTGATAAAATTATTAGAAGTAATAGCAGTAAACAATTTCAAATCTTCTTTATTTATCTGTAGCACTATTTGTTGTTTGTTTCCAAAATTAATAAGGGGAAAAGAGTTATCAGAATTATCATATTTCAACGAACTTAATACAATATTTTCTATCAACTTTATACTTTATTTTTTAACAAATAAATTAAATTAAAAATCTAGTTTCTCTGAAAAAGGAAGATCTGTGAAAGATTTTATCTTTCACAGATCTTCTTTTTAATTTATATTGATAAACTAGAAATCTTGGATATTCTCCAACTCAAGTGGTTTGTACCACCACAAAGAAATCTTACTTCTGTACAGAAAAATAGCATTAAACACTAAACGTTACAGCTAATTATTGATTGATATTACCGCTAAAATAACAGAACTGTCTTTTGATGTTAATTTTGAAAACAACCAAAAACATACAAAGATATAAAAATCGTCATTTTCAGATTGAGAACAAAGCATTTTTTGGAGTTAGAGTGACCGGACATCCTCGATTTCTGAGAATAGTTCCTGGTTTTGCTCCTTTTTTAATGTTTGAATGTAGAATAATGCATTAATTAATGCATCAATTATCACCAATTTATAGATCGATAAATAAAATTTTCAAAAATAAAGTCGAATCATTTCTAGACTCCATTTTCACTGATTGTGAAACATGTCCCTGTTCGATCGTAAATGATACAGTCCGTTAAGTGATTAAATCATTTTCGTAATTATCGATACATTCTAATTTCCAATAATGTTTCCATTAATTACATGTAATTGATGTTATTTTAATCTTTTTACTGTAAATAAGATTATAATTCTCATATCATTGTATTTAATATTAACATTATTCGTCAGTCTACTTTTTACATTAATGTATTCTAGTTATATTCTACAATATTATAGTTACTTTTTATTCTGTAATTTTATCATGTAGAGTTTTTATGGTTTCTTTTATGGAGCATGATAGACATTTCCCTATATTCCTGACTCGTTCATGGTATGAAAATGAATCCTTACTTTTATGTAGCATTTGGAAAATTATCACATTTTATTTAATGCAAATTAATGCATTTTATTACCAATTTATGTTCCATTTACTCTATAAAATATGATTACAATTTTTGTTTCTACATGAGAGCGGAGATATGTTGTTCCATTAGTTTACGTCGATGATATAAATTAATATTTTAATCAGAGTTTTAAAGAAAGATGATAATTTATGCTCAAATTGGTTAATTTTCAACAGAAACAATCTCTTAGAACAAATTAGAAGCATAAATTAATATAAGAACTTTTAATTTATGCTTCATTTACTTTTTGATTTAATTGTTTAAAATATTTTCATTTTCAGAATTTGTTATTCATTTTCCATTTCAGATTTTTTAATATTTTTAATGTATTTTAATGATAAATTTTAATTGAATTTAATAGCGAGAAGTTCTGCGTTGTTAAAAAATTGTTCTTTTCTAGCGACGAAACTTTGTCCAATATGCAAAAGTATTTCCACTGGCAAAGACGTTTGCATTTAAAGTACCTTCAAAGTACTACAGGTTAACTGTTGGTTGGACTGAGGTAATCTGTGGCACTATACTTGTTTTTATACCTGGTAAGTATCGTATATTTTAGATGTATACCAGATTAGACGAATAACAATTTATCCGAATTACAGTCGTTTCATTTCCGACAATCAAACTTCAATTTAAGCAACATTATGTATTCAAAGTTATTTAATGAAAATAATTATGTTAAATTTTCAATTATAGGAATGATAAAGCAATTGGCTAATGTCCTCCTCCTTATGATGATGACCGGTGCTTTCTATACTCATACAATAATGGAAGATAAATTTGAACGTACGGCACCTTCTATAGTTTTTGCCTTGATGTTGGCTTGTAGGCTGGTAGTGTTTTTCCAAGTGAGACGAAAAGAAAAGAAACAGAGCAAATTACTTGCAAGCAAATCAACCGTTTCAAATAAAGAAAATTTGAACAAGGAAACAAAGCAAGACTAATTAAATGATGTGCAAGAATTAATTATTGAATTATTAATTTCAAAAATTAGAATATAATTTTATTTAGAAATATTTTTACATATATATATATATATATTGTTTATCATTTATTTGATATTACTTTATATAAAGTTTATTATTATTATAATATATATTTATTATTACTAGTTTAAAAATGTTAAAAATGTTAAATTAAATATAAGATCATCGGGCATGTACCTAAATAATTGAAAGAATGAATATCAATCTGGTCGATCACGAGAGTACGATTTTTATACACGTAGTTTCGATCTTTGATCACTAAAGATGTCTAGTAGATACTTACTTTCATTTGACAGATTTTAACATTTATATTTCACTCGTCAATCAGATAAATGAATTTACAGATACCTCAATGATAGTATTTGATAAATAAAGTCATATTTTTATGATAAATTTATTAAATTAATACTCTGGATTATACAGTAAATGATCTATAAAGCGTTTATTATCGAAAAGACTTATAATGTACTGTACGTGCGTAAAGAATGCTATGAAAGTAGACCGACTTTTAACAAGCTAATTATATCATATAATACGTAAATATTCTAAAATTATATTTTATGACACGTATATATATATATTTACGTGCTTAATTACTGAAAAGCCATTCTTGTCCTGTTCAGAGCTTGCTTTACTGCTCATTTACTGTAAAGCCAAATAATCTGTCCAATTTTATTTTATTTTTTAAACATCACATTTCATGTTTCTTCTATTATTTTGGTACATGTTCAATAAGATTTATTAAGTTTAATCATTTTATATTAATTTTATCTATATAGACCAACTTAGAAACCATATAAAATTATCCGTTTCGGCTGTATTCCGTTTATCGATTATCGAATCATTATTGTTATATTAAGTTTTTAAAACTTGCAGACAAAAACAAAATGGCAGCTACTTAATAACGGTAAACCCCTAAGGTGCCAACGAAAGGACGACACGACTGTCTCTAATGTATTTTGACACTTAATCTTTATAAATTTGATTTTTACTTGCAGATTTTTCATATTTTGCATCGATTCCACGCTGTGGAAATATATGTAGTTAGGATTAAAATATTTAAAACATTTGTTTATAATAGTAGTAGAGAAAATTGTAATATTAAAAACGAATCGATAATCTTAGCGGTAGCAAAAAAAGAAAAATATATCACTTATTGTCTTTTCTAGTAGGTGATATAGTTTTAAATTTTGATCATATTATAAGGTATAACATTCAGTTAATATTATAATTTAAGTATATCTCTCTCCTATTTTAAAATATGCAATATTTGGGGAATTTTTTAAAAAATGATCACTACTTCCTCTTTAGGCATTAATGGATTTTTTGTCATGTGCATCAAGCTGTACATGGTTGAGAGATGATATCGTTCTTATTTCAAATCAAACATAAACTGATTTATAGTGTACAAATTAAATATATATTTTACTTCCTGGATAGCATCAGTCTGTGAATGAAAAGCTTAACTACCTCCGTAGAAAATATGATGGAACATTTTATCATGTGCATCATATCTTATAATTAAATATGACAGATATCCATCATTGCAAATTAGTGTCAAATGGATGCTGCTGACATGTGTAGTTTTTTTAATAAATGCAAGTCTTTCAAAAACAGCTTGAATTCAAATATTGCACATTTAAAAGTAAGGAATTTTTCATTCACATTTATTATTATTATTATTACTATTTCTTCATTTATGTTGTTGTTTTATTTATATATAATTTTGAAGTTTTATTTAGGTTATAATTAAGTAATTTTTTATTATTTATTCACTTTTCAAAACCATAATAATTCCAGTTTAAAACATATCTTAAAAATTTACAACATTCCATTGATTGTAGTTCAGAAATGCTGCTTTTTGTAAAATTTAGATAAATGGTAGATCGTGCGCTTAAAAAATTTTTCATTAAAAAATATTGCCGAGCCTTCTTGATCATTCTAAAGAAACGAATAAACGATTAATGGATTTTCTAAAAGTTCTTTTCGACATTTAATTTTCGGAAATGTACGTTAATCTACATTTTGCTATTAATGGAATAAGGTTATGCTCGTTGAGGAATCGATCATTATTGAGGTTATTTAGTCAAAATAGTGATTTATGAATGTGAGAAAGGACTATACTGAAAGTTAGAAATGAGAGAATATGAAACTGCACTTGTTATAACAACACCATCACCAGTTTTTTCTAAATTGTTGTAAGACAAGAAAATATGCTAATTAAGCAATTTAGAGACTTTCTATTGCTTATTATATGAATAAAATCTATATTACAACGGTTGAATAAGATTTTTGACTGCCAATTGAGTGTCATAGAAGTACAAATCGTAATTTTCATTAAAAAATAATACGCGATTCTTTCAATATATTGTATGGTACAAGATTTCAATACTATGAAAATATTTCTTCTTCAGATCTATACTTTTCATTATATCATACATAATAAAAATTTGAAATATTACTATATAAATTATAATATATTATATTTTGAATTAAACGTTACGGTGTACGACAAGCATTACTGATTTAAAATTATTCTATAATGAAAAGCTATAACTATACTTTGTTTTAAACTAATATTTGAATAAGTATAACCATTGTATTTAAAAGTAACATTAACGATACAATATGTTGGAAATTATAAAATGGAAAAAGTAAAATTATTAATATTATGCATTAAAGCTACAATGTTCTTTGAAAAATCTTATTCGTGATAATGTTTTTTGTAAAAATTTTAAGGTATGTCTTTTTAAAAGAAATAAATGCAATTTTTAATTATTTCGTTATATTTAAAATTTAAAACTCGTAACTTTATTCGTGTCTCGAAAGTTAAAATATAATTACTTGAGAAAACTTGTGTCGTTGCAGGTGAGACAGTTTGCGCGGATTTAATAAATTTGTTTTCTGTTTAATTTTAGTAACGCTTACTTTTTCCAATTTAAATACTAATAGATCCACCAAAAATATACTGTTATCAACTTTATGCACTTTTCTTCATTTTATAATTCACTAAAACTGTTTATAAAAATAGCTAACCTTTTTTAATAAGTTATTTATAATTAGTAGTAGTATTTGATTAAGTTTTAATCAGAATTGTTAAATCAGATGTATTAAAAACAATTTAAATCTTTGTGAATCTTAAAATATTAACTAATAATCTGATGTGATCTATATAACATATTCATTTATGATTTTTTCCATATTTAATTAAATTACATTAAAGATGTAGTTTCACTATGTATCTTTACCTTATTTTAAGATACGAATAAGATTATGAAAAGTTGATAGTAGTAAATATTTTTGGGGAAAAGAGAAGGTTTTATACGAGAAGTCTATTAGTAATATTTGGTATATGCTTAATATAGTGGTAAAAGAACATGATGGATGCTGAACACTTCCAGTTTTCCTAACAGTTTATCCATGTTCATTTATGTCATTTGAACTTAAATTTTTTACAGATTTACCATTTTAATTATGTTTAATATATTGGAGAGAATACAATTATTATTATATGAAAATTTTTATTTACATTTTTGTTTTACTATGTTATACAATATGTTGTTTGATTATATATTAACAATAAATGTATTTATACGAAACTTGTGTGTTTATTTGCAATACTAAACCTTGTAAAGTTTAACGGTTTTTATTTCAAAATGCCCGAAAAATGTACACGAAACTTCAAGTGTTTTTCATGGGGGAAAAGTTTAAGCAGATTAGAACGTAAGTCTCTCTACTGTATTCATCATCCAAAGTTATTTTTTTATTTAAATTTAGACAGATGACAGATTGCATGTTAATTTATAGAATAGGTATTTATTGTAGTTAGTTTATATAAGATTTAAATTATGAAAAACAGTTATAGTTATTGAGCAATTACATCATTACATGATAGCTGGGTAATCATTTATTACTGTAGTTGGAAGGTGTTGCATCTCGTTATCATGTGTTATAGCAGATTTTGTAACTATTCACATTCAGTATAATATACCGAGAATAAATTGTATTCAGATAATGTCTTTATTGGAAAAAAGATATATTTTCAAAATTTATGACAGCAAAACTAAACTTGTAACATTTTGTATTGTTATGCCATATTGGAAGCCACAGGATATTACAGGTTTATTTACTTTTTACAAATAAAAGTTGCTAAATAATTTTAAAATGATACTGATAATCAGAATGTTTGTAGGTTAAATAAGTTTAATGTGTAACATTATTCATTTCTTCTATAATTGATAAAACATTATGATTAAACCATGAAAAACTGAAACTAAGAAGTATAAAAACTTCCATAAACTATATATGTTTTATATAACCATCACAGGGAGTTAAATGCTTTTTATATATCCCAAAGATTTAGTTACTATAACCCACATTTTAATATTTGATACTATTGAATATATATTAGCAGTCGGATGGCCCAGCTATTGGGGTGTTGTCTTACCGTTTTGGGAACCCCAAACGTGTTGAAAAACCCCACGAATGTTTTGGGGTGATCTGTTTGGATATGGCAGGGGCCTGGTCACCCCCACTAGGCTGACTCATTGTGGGTTTAGCCAAGTCCTCAATGGGTTTGCTAAAAAGGCCCTCTTAGTACCCAGAGAGCAGAGTTTGCTTTTGTTTTTTAAATTTGATATCAAATTAATATAATATAAAAAATAAAATATGCACTCTGTTCTCGGACGTGCCCTCTAACGAATTTATTTGGCCCGATTTATATACAGATACCCAATTTTCCCCCACCTCTGTTATATATATAACAGAGGGAAAGTATGTTGATTAGTCAAAAAATTTTATAGGGGTGTTTGTGTATTAGGGGCACAGATATACTATTAAATTTTGGTACTTAAATAAAGGTCGACCAAGTAAAGACGTAAAAGTGGTCATGTGTCATATCTCTCAATGAATATTTTACTCGTTATATTCGTTCAAAATTTAAAAAAAAAAAAAAATAAAACTCGTTTCTACCCTCAAAGTAAGCTTTTTTTTTGTCATTTTATAATACTACAGTAAAACCCATTAAGATGTTAGAATATATATGGGGACATGATTTAGTTCAACCGCTTTGACGCTAAATAACTAACTTTTGTGTTAAACCATTTGACTCCGATTCTGACCACTGATCACAGAAATTATTAGGCTTCAAACAGGGTGAACAAAATCATGCCCCCCCCACAGTCTAACATCCACACATATAGAAAAAAAAACCTCGAATCTTTTGCATATTTTGAAATTCCAAGGTGTCCCGAGTCAAAAAACGTAAAAATTTTGGAGGGGTCATTTTTTGACCGAGCGCTACACTTTTCCTCTGTTATATATAACAGCCAGAAAAGTAAAAATTATCAAATACATATTTATATATTACTTAGAGGAGTCTTTTAGCTTTGAAATAAAAAGTTTCTACGTTCTATCTTTATTAGAACTCTATTTATTGAATCTTTTATTCTGAGGTCACATATGACATCAGAATTTCCGGGTCTCTTTCGTAACAAGTCCGCCCCTGGTCGGAGTCGGTAGATTTTTACGCGACTCCAAAGCCATGGTTTTTATGATAGTTCTGTATAGTTGACAGGAGTTTACCAATTAAGTTTAACATATTTACATTTTTACAGCTATGGTGAGAAACGTTTGAAATCTACAACAGCCCTGTCGCTAGTGTTGCCACCTTTTCAAAATCGCCGACCCGAACGGTAGGTGAGGTTTGTTCGAACAGAAGTTCCTGACACATGCGCAATGTCATTTTACAATGGGAAGAATAACGTGCAAGCCGGTTCTAAATCAGCTACAGTTAGGGACTAGGGACTTGCGTAGGAGTAGCGTAAGTAACCTAAATTAAGAAAGAACAAGTACAGATAACTTAGCTCTATTTGAGACGTGTACGATCGTACTGTACATGCAAAAACAAAAAAAAAGTCGATAGGTCGCGCGCCACACGTCGGCATAAACAGACTAACATCGCAGAATTGCAGATGAGTTTCTGTGAATGTAGGCTCTTTCGCTGTTAAAATAGTGTAAATTTGTAAAAATATTTGCAAGAATATGAGCGTAGCCAGGAAGAGGCATGGGTGGGCACGGCCCCCCAGTTAACCTAGTGCCCCCTAGAAAATTACAGCCAAAAAGTGTTGAGCCGATTTGCAAAAAGAAATAAAAAGCTGAAGCTAATTTAATTGGGTGTAGTGTACCCACTAAAAGTCTAGATTAGGCATAGCCAAAATACGGCTCGCTTAATGAATTTATGCGGCCCGCGATTAATCTTTGAATATTGGACTTAACTCGAATGGATCCGCGATAATTCCTTATATCCTCACAATGTGAAGTGATAGAAAAGTTGAGGGAAAAAAATCAACGGCTTTCTCTGCCTAATATGAAAAGTGTATCTGTAATCTCTATGTACAGTTTAGTCTCTGCGGGTTAAGGCATTGTTAGAGTTTGATATTAATGTTACGAGAACTTTTTACTGGCTTATCGAATAAACGATACGAATGGACCCTAGACCATCACTGACGCGCAATTGACTAATTGGCTCTGGATGTCGGCTTCTTACAGAAACACAGCCTCCCTATCATCAAATGTCACGGCACGCCATTGTAGTGTATTATTAGCGGGTAAAGCATAATTAAATCTTACAATTTTGAATTGAAATGAATTTAAGAAAAGGTCATTTAACATGTAGTCGTGGCCGAGTGGTTAAGGCGACGGACTAGAAATCCGTTGGGATTTTCCCGCACAGGTTCGAATCCTGTCGACTACGAATTTTACGTATTTTTTTATTTCATTAACTCGGCGTTTGTCTGCTTCAGTTAATTAATAATTGCTTCAATATTACTACTGTATTTACTAATTTGACGGGATTTAATGTTGTACAGTACAGTACGCGTGCTTATGCGACTTGCAAAATTACAGCTGGGTGTTGGCCTGACCTAGCTCTCCTCTCTCCCGGGAAAACTTTTCAGGGTTTTATTATTAATTAATAGTCTTTGTATTTTTATTTAACTTTATACTGTAAAAACTATCCATTTTTTTCTTTAAATAAAATAAAGTTACAGTAGTTTGTTCTTATATTCCCTGGAGTAAAGATGTGTTTCTTTGTGTTATTTTACTACACACAAAACTTTTAACATCAAGGCTATTATATTGAAGTCCTTTAATATAATAATCAACCAAATAAAATTTATCATATTTGTATCTATATTGCATTATTGTATGATAAAAAATAATTTAATAAAATTTTTTACAAGTTTAAAGCTTTTTATATATACATAATAATTACATAAGTTCATAATACTGTAAGGTCTCGTTTTATGCGGATTTTTTTATGCGGTTTGTATTTCATCCAAAATTTTTTTGGACAAACATACATATAGGCTTGTTTAGGAAGCCCGCGTATAGACAGTCTCCAAAAATCGTGGGACGCTCAAAGCTCACTCCATTTGTTCCACTGACATATAACCTTTATGGATGTAAAGGACAGCTAGATCTACCTTAATCGCTTTAGTTCCTAGCAATTTTTGATATAAATGTAATTAAACATAAAAAATACTTAAAACTAAAAAAAACGAAAGAAATGCGTTAATTTTGAAGAAAAAGCTTCAAAGTTTAACTTCCTTTGTCTTGCCCTTCTGTGAAATTTAACACCGATGAGTCAGTTTATACATCTGGATGACCTTGAACACAGCTGGAGTTGGATTTCCCGGGGCATTCTCATAAACGTCGCGGGAGGACAAGGGTTTAAAGTAGGGTGAAGCTGGCCGTATATTTTTTAATATTTTTAAAAAATTTGGAGACTTAAAAAACATTCCAAAAATTTAAAAAAAAATGTAAAACTATATTACTTTTCGATAAAATTAACTGAATTAAGTTTGAATACAAGTTTATTTTAAGCTTTTATATGAATTTCTTTCAGACATTCGAAGTAATTTATTAAGCAGCCTATTTCTTTTAATTTCTGCAAACTTTTTTTATGCGGTTTTAAGTTAATTTTAATTCGTTGTTTTGGTTTTATGCGATTTTAGAAAATTACGGAACGTATCCCTACTTTTTCAAGGCAAGTAAAGTCTTTTTTATGCGAATTTTTTTTTATGCGCTTTTCTGTAGAACGTATCCACCGCATAAAACGAGACCTCGTAGTAATAAAGTGTATCGAGATCAAAACGCCATGCGGATAAAATATAAAAATTTATTAAATGAACAATAAATTTTTATTTGTAACAGTTCCATATTTTATTACATAAATAATCAAACTGGTGTTGGTGAATATGGGGGATAGAATATAGCTAATTTTGTAGCTTACTCTTGGATTTACTTGCATATGGATTTGTTAAATTCTTAATTTTTCTTTTGCTTTTTATTTTTAACATGAAAGATAAATCTTGTCATAATTTTTTCTTTTAATTTATGGCAATCTGGAATTTTTTTTAAACTTTTAATTTCAACTAATTTTGAATATTGTAAGAGGACTTTCTTTGAATCCTACTGATGTAATACATTTGTTACAGGTTTTTGAGATTTGTTCTATACTTGTTATTAAATAACCAGATATACTATATAATGAATTCACTTCTGCATTGTTTAAAGGCATATTTTCAGCTTCAAAATTTTCTGATATAACAACTGTATCATATTATTTTGTGGGTTCTTTGATTATACGAAGAAATTCTGATAAAAACTCTTTGTCGTCATCATCATAACTCTCTCTTTTGACACATTTTTTAAATATTGAGATACCGAAATTAATTTTAAATTGTTCTTAAACAGGAGTCCAGTTGGAGTCACTTGTTTTGCACACACTAAACTAAATAAGCTTTCTAAGCAGTCCTGGATAAATCTTGATGTTAGTAAAAAAAACATTAATTGAAAATTCATGTTGCAAATCTAAACTTGATTGAGTCATAACCAGCAATCCAGTTCGAAATTCCAAGTAGATTTATCTCCTACCTTCATAGTTTTAAACACTTCAAAAACATTTTTTTAAAAAATGTTATTGATTCCTCATACTTGGAGCAAAAAGTGGATGCTTCCATGTTGCTAATTTAAACCATTTTTTAACGGCATCAATAAACCAAGCAGTTGTTAAATATGGTTTATTCACTTCTTCTGAAAATATCTTAATCCACTGCTTATATCAGGGGTGGGCAAGCAAGAGGTCAGTGAGAGCCAAAATGTAGGTTTTGCAAAATGCATGGGAGCCACAGTTCTATACTTTTTTATTCTGTACTGCAGTTCTGTACCACAATTTTATTACATAATATAAATATTATATAAAACAAATATTGAATCTTTTCAATAAACATATTTTCACAAAATTGTGGACATCAAATTGTAAAAATAATAATAAAAAACAGAAATTAACACTTTCAGCAAGAGCCGCATGTAACTCAAAACTCAAAATGTGGCTCCAAGAGCCGCATGCGTGTCTCGGAGCCACATTTGCCCATGGTGGGCTTATATCATGACATTTGTCCATGGTGGGCTTATATTCAAAAAATGAAAGTGAAAACATGTGTAATGTTTTCACTTTCATTTTTTGAAAATGTGATGGCAATAAGTTTTCCTCACTTAACTTAGGAGCTAGTTTGAAATTTAAGTTTTGTTGTTGATCTTGCAATTCATTTATATGGTGTGATGATGATATATCCAGTTGGAAGATTGAATTTTTCTTTTGTTCCTTCTGATATTTTTATAATTTTATTTGTTATTAGCATACTTTTTATATTTTTAAAGAAATGTGGTACATCTGCAAGCAAATAAATCTTTTTATCTGAATTTAAAAAATGCTTTATGGAATTTACTATATCGTTGTGAAGTTTCATTTTTTCCATAATGCTTTGTTGGATGATCCCATGTCTGATGTAAAGCTAACAACATTTAAAACTAATTGTCCAGCACAAGTAATTATTTCAAATAATTTATTTTCATATAAACTTCCATCTACGGAGTGACCTGTGAAATAGTAAGTTAAAACCATAGTAAAGTAATCCACCCTAGTATAATGAGTTGCAGTCCCAGAATGTCCAGGTAAAGTGACATCACTAATATATGCATTACTACTGCTTTCATTATCTTCTTTAGCCTTTTCTACTTCGTTTTTCAAGATTCCAATTCTATGTTTCAATGTTATGATAGTGTTTACATATTTAACATTTTTTTCACATGATTTTCTATATAGTTGTTTATATTTTTTTAAATTCTGTTGTAATATAAATACAATATATCCTTTGCATGTTCCTTATCATGATTTACAGAAATGTCTTCAGCTAATGTGGTTTCTTCTGTAAATGTTAAAGTTGTTTCGAAATTTGTTGATGGTGTAACAATAAAGTAAGTTTTGAAGGTTTTACTTGTTTTATAACAGTCGAGGATCTTCCTTTTAGTGGTTTTCTGTGAATAATTTGTTTTGTGAATGAAAACAAAGTTGAAATGGCATTATGCTTTAATGCTTTTTGTATATATATACCTCGCCAGGTAATGCGATAGCTGGCTGAGTGCCGTTGTGGAGATGTTCTTAGGCCGTGGACGTAGGAGTCATCCCCAGTCAGTGTCGTATTTAACCAAGTAAGGTTGTACCTTACTTAATATACTTCTGGAAGCAAAGGCTCGCTCGGTATCTGGGTGGCGTAACTGGCAAGCACACCACACTGGAAGCGGAGGTTGTGGGTTCAAGCTCCGTCCCAGGCCAGTTCTTTTATTAAGCTTTAATTTCTTCTTCCCGTCAACTCTCACTTTTTTCCCACATTTATGGTTCAAAATGAACTTCACACAAACAAGAATTATTCGTAGACTTACAATTTTCTCGGCGCACTCTTTTGGGTCAAATTTTTCTCCGAATGGGATCTCTCAGAAAACATTTCACAATATATCCTCTTACTGAAGAATTAGAACAACCGAAAGCCGAACATCCAGGCATTATTTCAGTGATATCTGCATAATAAAATTAAAGGGTATATTTTATAAAAGTGGATTCGAAATGACTTTTAAGACACCTTTAATGCATTCAGCAGAATAACAATACAAAAGTACTAGTATGTAAAAGAATCATTTGTATAATGAATTTTTACATGCCTTCTAAATTCAATTCGCTTTACAAATGATACTTTAAATAATCACATATTACCAAATAAATGCTGCCTTTCAATAAGGTCCAAAGTACTAGTGTGTCTTTGTATTGTTAATGTACAGGATGTATTAAAGAAGTCTTACAAGTAATAGAATTAAATTTGTTTATATATTTTTTCGTTTTAATAACATCGCTTAAGCGGATATCGGATCTAATGTAAACAGCTACGCTAATTATCGATTTTTTCANAGTACTAGTGTGTCTTTGTATTGTTAATGTACAGGATGTATTAAAGAAGTCTTACAAGTAATAGAATTAAATTTGTTTATATATTTTTTCGTTTTAATAACATCGCTTAAGCGGATATCGGATCTAATGTAAACAGCTACGCTAATTATCGATTTTTTCCATTTGTTGCCTTATATTAAAGCTTAAATATGAACTTAAACATAAAAATATAACAAATTCATGCCTACCTGTTATCAAATGTGTTCAAAAACTTCTATATTTCTTTATAAACGACTTTAAAAAACACTTGCCATTCAAAATATACAGAGCCACGTGTACCTTTTGTCAGAACATGGCGGATTTTAACCACGTGATACAACTAACCAATAGAAAATTTGACAGCTCATGATAATCTAGGTACTGTAGTTTAATAAAAAGCATGTAACGCCATCTACTGTCGCGAAATTAAGTGATGAACTTTTTATTTTCTTATTTTAAACCAAAAATAGCACCAATAATAAAAGATTAAATGTACCTTATATAAAATAAAATAAGGTAAAAAAAATTTCAGTAAATGAATTTAAGTTTAATTAGAGAAAAAAGAGAAGTTGGTGAACGTGCAGTCGTGGCCGAGTGGTTAAGGCGACGGACTAGAAATCCGTTGGGATCTTCCCGCACAGGTTCGAATCCTGTCGACTGCGTCTCTACGTAGTTTTTAATTATTTTATTTCGTGTTTATTTTCCTGCTTCGTTCTTTAAATTGCTAGGTGCGGTAGCAGTTTGGCAAAGGGCTAATATTTTTTTACGCTGTTGCAAAAGCAAACCAGCATCATCGTAAAGTAGCTAAAGACCTGATGGAACATGATAAACCAATTTGGTTTACAGCAGTCGCAATTTCGTCGGAAGTTGTCGCAACCGCATGAGATACAACACGCACTGAATGGGAAACAAACAGATTCCGTCTGCACTTGGAACCAATGGAAAATTGCAGACAGGACGACGGAAAAGTGGTCGTCCGTAGACGGCAATGCCTAGAAGCGAGCNGTGGTTCAAAATGAACTTCACACAAACAAGAATTATTCGTAGACTTACAATTTTCTCGGCGCACTCTTTTGGGTCAAATTTTTCTCCGAATGGGATCTCTCAGAAAACATTTCACAATATATCCTCTTACTGAAGAATTAGAACAACCGAAAGCCGAACATCCAGGCATTATTTCAGTGATATCTGCATAATAAAATTAAAGGGTATATTTTATAAAAGTGGATTCGAAATGACTTTTAAGACACCTTTAATGCATTCAGCAGAATAACAATACAAAAGTACTAGTATGTAAAAGAATCATTTGTATAATGAATTTTTACATGCCTTCTAAATTCAATTCGCTTTACAAATGATACTTTAAATAATCACATATTACCAAATAAATGCTGCCTTTCAATAAGGTCCAAAGTACTAGTGTGTCTTTGTATTGTTAATGTACAGGATGTATTAAAGAAGTCTTACAAGTAATAGAATTAAATTTGTTTATATATTTTTTCGTTTTAATAACATCGCTTAAGCGGATATCGGATCTAATGTAAACAGCTACGCTAATTATCGATTTTTTCCATTTGTTGCCTTATATTAAAGCTTAAATATGAACTTAAACATAAAAATATAACAAATTCATGCCTATCTGTTATCAAATGTGTTCAAAAACTTCTATATTTCTTTATAAACGACTTTAAAAAACACTTGCCATTCAAAATATACAGAGCCACGTGTACCTTTTGTCAGAACATGGCGGATTTTAACCACGTGATACAACTAACCAATAGAAAATTTGACAGCTCATGATAATCTAGGTACTGTAGTTTAATAAAAAGCATGTAACGCCATCTACTGTCGCGAAATTAAGTGATGAACTTTTTATTTTCTTATTTTAAACCAAAAATAGCACCAATAATAAAAGATTAAATGTACCTTATATAAAATAAAATAAGGTAAAAAAAATTTCAGTAAATGAATTTAAGTTTAATTAGAGAAAAAAGAGAAGTTGGTGAACGTGCAGTCGTGGCCGAGTGGTTAAGGCGACGGACTAGAAATCCGTTGGGATCTTCCCGCACAGGTTCGAATCCTGTCGACTGCGAATATTTTCTTTTTTTTCTTTAAAATTATTTTAAAATAAATTTTCTTTATTTAAATAGTATAATGGAATTTTTAATTATATAATTTCCTACATTATTTTTATTAAATATTTCTCACACTCATGTATTATATAAACTTATTTATAATCATAAGAAAATTGTAAAATTTGACAGTGTTTAATAGTTTCATTTTAAAATTAAAATTTAATTTAAATTTGTACTTTATAAATACAACTTTAAAAATTTTAATTGAAATTAATTCATTAAATATTCTTCCAATAGATGGCGGGACTAATCCTATCATTTAAATTCATTGTTGAACCTTTTAATTACATAATTTTTTATATTTATAAAATAATTAAGTATTTCATTTTGTATTTAAATCATAAATACAGTATTAGACATAAAATTGCTTTAAAAATGAATGCTTCTAACGTAAGTGGCAAGCCTCTAATTAAGCACTACCCAATTTCTTTAGAGGAGTTATACAGATACAATGTTATAGAATAAAAATGTTAGCAATGAGCCGTGAAATGAGGCCCTTAAGAAGGCATTAGCCTTCTTAAGGGCCTCATTTCACGGCTCATTGCTGGTAGGATATGGAAAATGGATGAGGCCCTGGTAGGATGATCTCTATCATGAACAAGGCCCTTAAGAAGGCAACAGCCTTCTTAAGGGCCTTGTTCATTGCTAACATTTTTTTTCTCCTAAGGGCCTCATTTTACGGCTATGTCCATAACAGGGATCATCCTACTGGTAGGGTATGGACATCACCTTAAATTTTGCTGAAGAATTTAGTACGACAGCTTTGTATAAAGACATGAATTACCTTGTATTGTGTAATAATAAAATACCACTGTGGCAAATTTCATTAGTAACTTTATTTAACTTCTACAAAGGTATTAGGATGATTTTTTCCTTGTGGATATTATTAAACCATACAAACATATAGCCTACATCATGAAGATATATTTGAACACACATAAATATAATTAATCCAGTGTCGAAGTTTCGTTGAGGCAAGGACAATAGCAATCAGAAGCTTGACGAACAGCTAATGGACGAGGTTTCGGTGTAGTAACCCTCTTTCTAGGTCTTAGAAACTTTTTAATTATGCGCGGTAAATTTGGCAATGGTGGCCTGTTAACCATATTTAGTGGATAGAGAAGTGGAGCGACTGAACAGTCGAAGTGAAACCACCAATCGCAGACAAAGTATCGCTGATTGAAGACCGTTCCGTTGACACAAAGGAAGCTTGCATTACGTCCGTCAGGGAAACATATGTGATAGCCCTTAATTTAAGTAAATTAGAATTAAAAAAAAAATAAAATTTTACTTTAACAAATAGCTATTTTAAAAATTCAAATATTCATTGCAAGAAGGGCATATAAATGATGAAACGAGCATGGAATTATCCTTAATTGCACGTTGTAGCTTCGCGAATTTGAATTAATTAAGAGGACCCACGTAAAGTGTTGACTTCAGATATTTTTCTTCGGGGGTGGAATGTTTCGAGAGGAAATTTTCTCTTATAAAAGATTGGTTTGTGGTCCCACCAACAGGGAACCACAATCTTTTATATTGTAATTTTTGTCAGTAGGATAACGCACCACTAATTACAAGCCCTTCCTCTACGATGATGCAAGTGTGTGAGGCCCTAAGCTGTAGCTTATGTGCAAATCAGGCCCTGATTATTCTAGCTCCGATAATGCAGAAATCATTAGAAAAAAAGGGAAAATTTTCTCACCTGACAACCAAGTTCCGGATCAGCAAAAAATCCAGAATAATTATAATTAGAACAACGAAAATCCGTCTTGGGAAAATCGATATTTAACGGATAATCTTCTCCCGCTTTACCGGGTATAACATCTTCGATTTCGTTTATCTCATCCTGATCCAAACCTATTATCACCTTAGAAACAATAACAAAAAAAAATCTCAACTAATCAGCGTCGTTTAATTACCGTTACAGTACACGTGATTGGATAATTTAAATTTTGAATCTTAATTCAATGATTCTTATTGGATTACGAGGAGGAAAAAATATATTTAATTTAATTACTTACCTGAAAAATCGCGGAAACGATTAAAATTTCTGAAAATATACAGAAAATACGTATTATCACGTATTTATTAATGATAATAATAATAAATTATAGTTCTTAGGTGTTAAACTAGTACTTACCGAATATTACTTTCATTGTGTAAATTGGCAAATGTTTCTTGATAAAAATGTTTTTACAAACTGTTTGTAACTAAATGAATAAAATTCTCACGTGGTGTTTAATGTATTTTTAAATAGGTCACATGATACAAGGACACTGAACGTGACCATTGGGGGGATTATAGACATTGGGTGCTAAGGTGCAAGGACAACTTCACTCTTCTTCACTTTCGCCTCGGGGGAAAAATTTAATAATATTACTGACTTTACAGGAAAATTAATTAAAAAATAAATAAAATTTTATATTTTTTACTATTTTTCTTAAATAATTTAACATAATCTTAAAATAATCTTGAAATACTCGATTATAATTGATCAGTTTTTCGAGTTTGGAGATTAATTAATTAAAATTTATAAACAATTTGGCAGGCAAACTATGTTAAAAACTGCATTCCTTAATATTTTAATTGAATAACCAATGGCGGCCATCTTTTCTCTTTGAAATGCTTGCAAAACAACCCCAAACAACGGCCACTTGTGTTCCCTCAGTGGGCGTTGTTCAGAGGTTCTACTGTACTGTACATTAATACGTTACCGTATTTTGTACGCAACGTTTCATAAAACACTTCTACTGCACTGTACATTAATACGTTACTGTATTTTGTACGCAACGTTTCATAAAACACTTCTACTGCACTGTACATTAATACGTTACTGTATTTTGTACGCAACGTTTCATAAAACACTTCTACTGCACTGTACATTAATACGTTACTGTATTTTGTACGCAACGTTTCATAAAACACTTCTACTGCACTGTTACGGATATAAGAGAGTAATGAATTCGGTTTTCCCATTCACATAACGGTTTTCCTCTTGTGAAGAGCATCGGAAAGGAAAGTTTAGATTAAAAATACTGATTACGTGAGTATGTCAAGGAGAAGATATTCATTTGTACAGTTTGTCACGAGTTTTAACTTACTAAATGTATTATTTATCGTTGGATAATGTTAATTTTAACCCCCTAAAATCATCATTAGATCTTAAAATATTTATTTTCTTTTTATTCAGTCCGGTTTTTTTATACTTCTATCCGAGTTTTTATTTGGTTAAAATTTAAAAAAAAATGGTGTGATTTTGCAGAAGAGTATCAGTTCACAGCTGATTGCATTATTAGATCTAGGAATTAAATAATAATAAACCAGTTTATTAATCTGAATACGGACGAACCGCTAATGACGGCCATCTTCCAGCAATGTTTCCGTCTGTGGCCGTTGTTCACGGGTTTGACTGTATTATTTAATGAATTAAAATGTTAATAAGTTTACGTTTTATCTATACTTACGGTTTACAAATTAAAATATTTTCTGTTGTTTTATTTGTGTATCGCCATTTGTTTACCTGGCATTACGTACAATCGATATACGGAACCGTTTTGAGAAGTTTTTTTCGGCCTAGGACCCAATTTATTTAGAGACATACAGGTATAGAACAAAAATATTAGTGATTAGCAGGCCCCAAAGCCCTAAGAAGGCCTCTTAGCCGTTTTTCTGTAACTTTCTACTTTAAAATTCGAGGTGAGATTTTTGAATACAACGAATACAGATTAAGTGGCATAAATACATTAATTTTCATAAATACACAAGAGTTAACACATGTTTTCAACAAGCTGCTTAACTTCAATCATTTTTTTTAAATAATGAATGTCACTAATTTAAAATTCAAATAAAAAAACCTAAAAAAACAATACGATTTTTAAATAAGTGTTTGCTAATACTTTTTAGTGTAGAGAATTTAAAATTGCATAAATATCATAAAATTTTAGCGAAAATAATTACTTTCGCAACCACGAAAAGTTAATTTACCCCGTAGAAAGTTATTTATATACTGTCCAATATACATAAAGAATATAAAAATTTCTGTTATTTCTTAGATCGAAAATAAATTATTATTAGTATGTGTAGAGCTATTGTTAATAACTATTTTCTATTTTAAATATTATTAAAAATTGTAGGAAATGGGCACTTTACCAGATAATGCGCTTAATAAGTCTATTCAGTAGAATGACGCTATTCTAGAACAACAGTATTGTCTATCTATTCCGGAATAGCATGATTATGTCTATATATTCCCGAACAGCGCTATTGTTCTTATATTCTAGATCTAGAACAACACACAGTGCTGTTCTAGAATATAAGAGTATAGGAGTGTAGAATATAGGAGTCTAGGAATATAGAAATATAGAACATAGTCTATCTATTCCGGAAGAGTACTATTATGTCTATGTATTCCAGAACATAACACATAGTAATGTTCTAGAATATAGGAGTATAGGAGTATAGAATATAGGAGTCTAGAAATATAGAAATATAGAACATAGTCTATCTATTCCGGAAGAGTACTATTATGTCTATGTATTCCAGAACATCACTATTGTTCTTATATTCTAGAACAACACATAGTACTGTTCTAGAGTATAGGAGTATAGAATATAGGAGTCTAGAAATATAGAACATAGTCTATCTATTCCGGAAGAGTACTATTATGCCTGTATATTCCAGAACAATTCTATTGGAAGAAAGTGTTTATTACTCATTAAAACATCTCCGGATTTAAATTTCCTTAATATAATCGATGCATTTTTCACTGGATCAAGCAAATATGATCGATTAACAAACGTAAAATCGATTACTCCTGTTTAATTAATCGATTTTTTTCTTTACACGTTTTAAAATAGGATTTACAAGCGTAAAGGCTAATAATGGATTAATTAAAAGATTCATCTTATATTTATACCATCATTATCCTGGACGTAATTATTATAGAAAAGGTTCTAAATATTGTTGATTTGTTGCAGATTTTTAAATTTTTTTGTATAATCTATTCTTAGATCCCTTTAATGCTGTATGAATTAGTACCTAGTTAAATATGGCACAACCTTTTATTTATCTTAAACAAATTGGTCAAGGCTGAGAAGTTTTCGGGTATAATAACTTCATCTACAACATCGAATTTCGAGATTTAAAAAAAAACATTACTCTCAGCATTATGTTGAGAGAAGAAAGGAAAGAAATGTTTGTTAATTCATTTAAGGTATTATTTTTGGACAGATAAATAATTAAGTTTCGTGCAAATTTTTAAAATTAAAATTAATTGGAAGAATAAAAACACATAACAAAACATTTTTTCAGGATAAATTTTCAAAAAAAGTAATTATAATTAGCGTATTAACGTTAATTACGATCCTAGGACCTTACAACAAAGATAAGGAAAAAAAAAACACAAATCATTTTAAATTAATTATTTCAATTGTATTTTATTATAGATTTTTTTCAAATGTATATTTTAAATTCGTAAAAATTAAAATATGCTTTGAATGCTTTGAAATGGTCCATTTGTTTTAATTAAAATTAAATATGTTAGTAAAGAGAATTAATATTTGAAATAAAATCAAGTCAAATTTAATAGAATAAATAAAATAGAGTCGAACCTCTCTAATGACGTCCACCTGTAAACAGCGGCCAATTTTTTATGTTTCCATCATGGCCGTTATTTAGAGCCATGACTCTTTTATCCAAAAACACTCTAACAGGCGGGGCCTTTATTTCGTGTCTTCGGGCCAACAATGGGGGCGACTGATAAAATGAAGGACCGGGCCCGAAATTTCCGGAATACACCCCCAAAAAAATTCCTGATGTGTTTTTGACTGGTCCCTTCACAGATGAACAGGATGCTTCCTTTAAACGTATTTTTGTTATTTCACACACGATATTGGCATCAAGCATTATAAAACATGTCGCCACAACTCCTTAACAGGTTCTAGGCCAAGGATATTTATATATTCAAATAATTATTTTTAAACAAACAACTGATTCCCAGCATTTTTTTTATCTAGCAAATAACTAGAAAAAAAAGGAGAAAAACGACGCCATTCTTCCTTTTAACTATTCAGTTATTTATAGTTTAATTGTAAGGAAACAATAATAATAATAATAATCTTCGTTTTGTATGAAATTATTTTCACTTGTCAAGACAATAATTGAAAATAAAAATCGATCCTTAATATATTTTTATACATTACTTACATTGTACCTTGCTGTTCCTACGTTTCGTATGAATTGATCTTCACTTCAATGGACCGTTTAGGGTGGAACGTGAGAATACTAAAATTAACATTTGAAAAACTTACAGAATAATTCACACGATATCTTTCACTTTATTAGTTTAATTAACATATCAGAAAACTCACTGACCGAACCAACACCAAAAATAAAAAATCTATTCGCCCGTATAATTTACGAATTTTAAAAACACAGGACTTTACGTGTTTATTTCAAAAATTCAAATTTTCAAATCAAAGCGCGTGATTGGTTAACGCTTTCATTACATCGGTTGGAGGGAGCATCGTAAAGGAAATTTCATTGTTTTATGGTTTTTATTGTAGGGTAAAATAGGGATATTTTTTAAATGTCATCGGCAATTTGACCCGACAATTGACCACTACAACAGGAAAAATGATATTCCGTTTGAGTGAGACACGTCCTAACACTAGTGGTCACGGTGCCCTGGATGACACTGTCTCTTCCGTTCTGCTTTCTCCTTATAAAAAATAAATAAATAAATAAATAAATTTATTTTTTTATTTTCTAAAATCTATTTATTATGCTTGATTTTAAACTTCATTAATCAGGCAGAACAACTAGTGAAATTCGCACGAATTAATTTTACTATTTTTAAAAAAAATAAAATATTAAAAATATACATAACAACTTTTTATACACAATAATTTATATTTATTAAATATATATTTTTGTTTATACATTTAAATTTTTGACGGCGTATAAATGAAGGCTTTTTATTGGTCGATTCGAAATTTAAAAATTGAAATTGATGTAAATTCGATTGTGAGAATTATTAATTTGATTGGTTGTAAGATTTTTTTTACGTCATTCTTCACTCTAATTGGCAACTGATTGTGGGCTTAATTATTATCAATTTTTTTTAAAAAAAATTCATTATATTAAAAACAATTTAATTATTTAAAATAGCTTATCGCTTGCGGAAACATAAAAAAATGGCCGTTTTTAAAAGGTGAAAGTTAATTTTATACATTTTTGCACCTGTAAAAATGGCCGCTGTTTACAGGTGAAACGTTCGACTTATAATTTATTTATAACACAATAAATTAGAAATATCAAAATAAAATCATTCTTCTTGAGAATTTACATTAAACTTAATCTAAATTCAGTGTGATTTTAAGAATAGGGACACTAGATTTTAGGCTTCTAGGGCCTAAAGTGTGGGCTTCCTATGCCTAAAATCGCCACTTAATTTAGGTTTCCTATGCCTAAAATCGCCACTTAATTTAAGTTTCCTATGCCTAAAATCGCCACTTAATTTAAGTTTCCTATGCCTAAAATCGCCACTTAATTTATATTTCCTATGCCTAGACTTTAGGTCCCAGGCTAGGTTTAGGCCCTAGACTATGTCTTTAGGGCTCTAGTGTCTCGGTTTTAAGGAGCCTCATATACTATCGAGAATTCTTAGTACATTTTAAAGCCTAAACCACTTGCCTAAAGCCCTTACAATTTGCTGAATAAAATCAAAAAATGTAAGTCGAGAAGGTATCGATTACCATCCCTCATATTTATTAAAATTTATGAAATTAAATTTTAATTATTTTTAAGAAATTTCGTAAAAAAATTTTTTCTCTCAGCGTAAACCTATTAAGTTAAGAAATTTCACTTTCTCACTATTTTATTTCTTTCATATTTTTTGTAATGGAAGAAAGTAATAAACAAGAAGAGAGAGAGAGAAAGAGAAAAAAGGGAATATTTTATGGAAAATAACATTTTTTCACCGAGTAAAATCTAGGACATTTTTCACTTCATCACCTTTGCGATTCATCAATTAAGCATATTTCATGCATTGTTAAGTATTGTCTCAGATGACATCTCCATACTTTCATCAATACACCGAGAGTGATCCTAGCTCTGCCATTTCTGAAGGAGTCACTGTCCGGAGCGTGTTTTAAGCTAAAGAGTTCCCGGTAAGTCACGTGATTGCCGTTATATATCATTTAATTTAACTTAAACTATTTAAAAACATTATCCTATAATCGAAAGTTTCCTTGTTATAACTGTTAATAACCTCATTGAATTCTACTGATGGAATCGATGAATATTTTTTAAAGAATATCTGTGAATATTTCGTGTGTAAATGTCAGGTTAAAAGTTTAATAATTACTTATTAATTTTAATTTCAAGGGTACATTATATACCAATCGACCCCCCTATAACACTGTTGATTATTCCGTTTTATATGAATTCCATGTTGTACGAGTCACTTAGATTTTTCAAATACGTGAGCCGTTCACAGCCCAGCACACGTATTTGTAAAATCTAAGTGACTCGTACAACATGAAATTCATATAAAACGGAATAATCAACAGTGTTATAGGGGGGTCGACTTGTACAGTCTTGCAATACACTTTACACCACTCGTTAAGAGAGCATTCTAATGTATATTTAAGGGGTTAAAAACAATACAAATATCTTAATATTTGTATAATTTAGAATGTAAAAATTGTTATTTAACTTTTAAAAAAGTGTAAACACAAGACAAAACACAATTGTAACGGAAAAAAATAAGTAAAAAAAAGATGATTAAAAGGGGAAATCTTTTGCATATGTTTACGCTCTCGAAGAGAAGGAAGAATAAGTACCACGGAGAAACTATAAGTAAGAGGCACCATTTTTTTAACCTCTGTCTTGCTAACTGTCTGACGTCACAAAAGTCATGTGACATAAGTCTTTAAGAATTGGCGTTTAGAAAATTTTCGCTAGTATCGATTCGATACTCTGTTATCGAAGTTAATATGCCATATTTTCTATATTATTTAATTGTATAATATATATGTGGTTCGTTAAAAAGAATTTCGTTATATTAATTATTATTATTATTTATATGTTATTTTATCTTTCATTTATTTATTTTTTTAGGTGTTTCTAGCAAAATGAAGCACCGTTTAACAGTTTTAGTATTAGCTATGGGTAAATATAAACCGTTATATATATATATATATACTTTAATTTAATGCTTCTATTTTAGTTTCATCCATTTAGATATAGTTTTAGTTTATTTAAGTTTAAATTAGTCATTAAAAATGTAGTTTATAAGTAAGAAAATTAAGTTTTAGGTTATGGTCTACGCCGTTTTTACAATTTAAAACCCTAAACATTGTACAAGTATCCAAGTCAGGGCCCGATTCGTACCTCAGATGTATCTCAGGGCCTTCTATTTTAATATATATCATTATTTGTTGGAAGAGGAATGGTCTGTTATATATTACATACAGCTTAGGGTCAAGTCGAAGTCCAGCTTTGATCCCAACTAGTATTACATTACAGTACTCAAGTATTGATTAGTATAAGTTGTTATAGAAACAATATTAAACTATTTACGAAGTAAAAACATTAAAATACAGGATTGTTACTCAGTAAACTAGGTTGTAAGTAGGAAAACTCAATAGTTTCTAAGATGCTTTAACTCAGTGTGGCATGTAATATCTACCATACAAATGCTGAATACTTTTTAACATTCTGTATAAGTTTGTTCTTTTCTAACTGTCCTAAAAGTACAAGGCCCTAGACAAAGTATAAACTTCATTAAATAGTATGCAACTAAGACACTGTAAGCCCTTCAATTAATTGTATTTATCAATTCCATTTAATGGATCGATTGCCTATCGATGCATGAAGCATGGATCCATCAGTTCAAGTATGGATAAAGAATAATTTAATCATAAGATTCTTGTATTAAAATGAAAATTATTTAAATTACAGGTGTTCTAGTCAAGTCTGCTACCGAAATTAGGGTAATATTTAAATAATTTACTTACGATCATGTAAGTTTTATATATAAAAAATTTAATTCTAACTCCATTATTTTAGGTAAAACGGCAGAGTTATCCCGATCACTCTTATTATAAGCCAGGAGATGATTCAGGAGAAATTTACCAGAAAACGAAATTTTCCGATTCTTCAAGATTAAGTAAACCTTATTCTTATAATTCCGGAGATTCTAGCGAAGTTTACGATCCGAGTGCCAGAGATCCAGAGAAAGCTTTGTATTATCCTGCTTCTGCGAAATCATACGAAAAAGACTCATATAATTATCCTAGCAAAAGTTACGGGAATTACAAACCAGGTAGAGACTCTAGAGTAAATAGTAATTATGAGCCAAATAAAGATTCTAGATCTAGTTACGAATCTAAGGACAAAAGACCTAATTATGGACCTGTTAAAGAAACCAGATATAAATACGAAAATAAGGATTCTAGATCTAGTTACGAACCTAGTAAGGATTCTAGATCTAGTTACGAATCTAGCAAGGATTATAGATCCAGTTACGATGAACCCAGAAAGGATTCTAGATCAAGTTACGAGTCAAATAAGGGTTCTAGATCTAATAACGAACCCGTTAAAAGTTCTAAATCTAGGCACGAGCCAAATAAAAATACTAGAAATAGTTACGAGACCACCAAAGATTCAAGATCACCATACAGAGCCAAAGATTATGATTACAGTAAAGAAGACAAAAGCCCTATTTATGAACCAAACAAAAATTCAAAATACTTAGGAAAATTTCATCCCAACATATTTAGCAATTCAAAATCAGATGGTAATCATTCTAAAAAATCTGATAATTCATTTCCATCTCTTATAGATAATCCCAGAAAGTCGACATACCATAGTGGTGAAGTGGATGGTAAACAACGTCGTACTAGTTTTAAAGAGCCCGAATTAGATAAATTATTTAAAAATTACCCGAAAGATATTAAAATTAACACTAAAGCTATCTCAACATCCACAGAAGAAAGTGATCGCCCTACTACTAGCAAAGAAGTGATCATCAAGAATACAGTTACGTACGACGATGACAATTTGGACAACTCGAAAGAAGACGAGAAACCGTTAACAGTAGATAAATCAGAAAATCTCGAAAGTAAGGCTAAGACAAACAAACGTCACGATCAGTACAAAACCGACGATCACCATCATTACAAAACCACTCCACCACCCATACCCGGAGTTGCTGGTGTAGATTATCCCATTTATGCTACAGTACCCATGACACACTTCAATTGTTCTCACTACAAACCTGGATATTATGCAGATCCCGACACTATGTGCCAGGTAAATACAATAAAAAACAGTTTAAAATTTGAAATTAGCCAATCAGAGCAACGCGTCGGATCTCGATTCGAGTCGTATTATTGGTCGATTTAAAATGTTTCCGTTTAATTTCAGGTATTCCACATCTGTCAAGCGGGAGGTGCAATGGATTCGTTTCTATGCCCAAATGGTACCATGTTTAATCAGTTATTTCTAGTCTGTGATTGGTGGTATAATGTACATTGTGGAAAGTCTCGCAGTCTTTACGAGAAATCGAATGCAAGGTTGTACATCGTGCCGAAAACTAAGAGAGACGATTCACAGAAACAGGATGACGACAATACCGATAACGATAAAAAATCAAGTGGTACTGTAACAACTCGTATACAAGCTGTCGGTTACGGTAAAAATGATAAATCAGTTAATAGTTACGCTTATCAGGAAGTAACCGAAGGAGGACTGGGTCATGAAAATTATGTTTACGAATATTAATAGGATATAAATGCGGTCTAAGATACCAGAATTAATGTATTTATTAATTTGGGTTTTTGTTGTACGATATAAAAATTTGGTTTCCATGTCATTCTTCTTCATTTACCAAAAAAAAAAAAATCCGCCATATTCATTTTATGTAGCATAAACCAGATTCATTCTTTACTCTTTATATATTATTCTTAAACGAGAAATCATCAGTTAAATGTTTATTTAAATATGAATCACGGTATTTGATTCAATAAATTTTGAAATTTGTTAAGATTACAGAAAAAAAAATTCAACCTTATTGAAAGTGTGATGGAGGAATAAATTATTAAGATTTTCTTTTTATTTGGTCTCAATTTGTTAAGATATTAAAGTTGTAAGTAAAACAATGCTCTCAATAAGGAATACCCTCAAAAGCTGCTTTACGCTGTATGTAATTATAAATAAAAATGTTACCTACCAATATGGGGTACGCCATATTGAATAGTCTTTAGTATTGTGATACGAATTTTGATTGAAATATAAGCGTGGACGGATTTACTATTCTGGCATGGAGAATTTTGCCGTTTCTGATGATGTATCCGTGCAAAACTCATTAAAAATTGTATTTAATTAAAGTCGAAAATGCCGTCTTGAAAATTTTACTGCTGGAGGAACGTACGTACATACTTGGCCTATGAGGAAATCCGCCCATTTGTTATTGTTATTCCCCTCAATTGAACAGATTCAACGTATCTAAAGACATTTATTTCGGGAAAACGGAACTTAATACTATTGCAAACTAATTATTTGATCTTCACCCGACTCATTCCGTAGCGGCCATGTCAGACTTGTCTTTATCAAACTACGATGAACCGAAAATGGGGCTATAAAAGTCTAATGAATTCTTTTAATTAATTTAAATAAATTTTCTGTAGTAGAAATAATATACGCCAATTTTAAAATTTATTCGGATTAAATGAAAGACGTTTCGGGCTCTCGATATCTGGTGTATTGGCTTCTATCGTTTCTGTTACGTGTAATAAATAAAGTTTTTGTCATTTCATGTAATTTCAAAATAATTTTCCGCCTGTTTTCTCCAATGTAATATCAATACATTTTATTATAATTTTCACAAATAATAATGAAGTCCATTCAGAAACGCTGCAGTCACTACGCTTCTGAATGGACCGGCAGCGGGTGCATGACGAAGGATTGAAAAAAAAAAAAAAAAACTTGTTACACCATACAGGTGTGTAAATATCCCGGATGACTATGATATGTAGAAGTAAAATGTAATATTTTTATCATAAGATAGGCTATTTTTTAACTTTAAAACGAATTCGCCGTTCGGGAAGTTCCGATCTCTATGATATAAATTTACAAAAATTGCACGTAGAGGTTTATTGAATTTTTAAATATTTTAATTATTTAGAAATTTCACATAATTAAAATTTATTCTAAATTTACGAAAAAAAAATTAGATTTTAAGGAAATTATCCTCGAGAATATATAAAAAAAAATGAATTTATTTTTTTAATATCGCAAACACATGGCAACACTTAATCATCTATCAAAAAATTACTATATTATTACAAATTAATTATTTAATTAAAAAATCTTATTAAATTATAATAATAATAATTTTAAAATAAGTTCTATGCAAATTCGATTATTTATAAAATAAAACAAAGTAAAAATTATAATTATCATTTTAATCGAGCGGCGTACTTTAAAAAGTCGTTTGGTTTTTACCCCTCATGAAACGGTCATATTTAATTTGTTTATCGAAATTCAATTAATTTTGTCAAAATATGGAAAATAAGCCTTTTCTATCGAAAAAGCATGGCGATAAAGGTAAGTTTTCGACGATAAATGCCAAATTTCATTATATAGGACTTTTAATTACATATAAATATAATTAATCAAATTATATACTATATACGTGTTTCTTATTATCATCGATAGATGGCGCCACTTTAAATGCAATTCATTTTAATCGAGCGGCGTACTTTAAAAAGTCGTTTGGTTTTTACCCCTCATGAAACGGTCATATTTAATTTGTTTATCGAAATTCAATTAATTTTGTCAAAATATGGAAAATAAGCCTTTTCTATCGAAAAAGCATGGCGATAAAGGTAAGTTTTCGACGATAAATGCCAAATTTCATTATATAGGACTTTTAATTACATATAAATATAATTAATCAAATTATATACTATATACGTGTTTCTTATTATCATCGATAGATGGCGCCACTTTAAATGCAATTCATTTATTGAAAAAAAAATCAAATTTAGAGAAATTTTTGAAAAATAAATACACATTTCATTCTTTTCACAAAGTTTTTTTTGCCTCAATTACATCATCTCTCTCTTTCTCTCACACACATATAGCAAAAAGGGCCTCAATTTTTACATTTATCATGATTTGGTGGAAGGAAAGGGCCCATTATGTGTTATAATTTAGGCCCTTATAATATCATAGAGGCCTACAATCTACTCTATTATAGTGTAAGCCCACGGTGTCCAAACTGTGGCTCTTCTAGACTCTTCTTGCAGCTCCCATATATTTATACAATTTCTTATTATAAATTTGATACATAATACACTATATAATAGAAAAAAAATTACAAAAATATTATATATGTTTAACAGACAGAGGATTGTAAGTGTAATGCAAGTGATATTTACTCTATTGAATGGGGGATACTAACTGTATGTAAAGAGGATGCCGCTCTGGTGTATTTACTGATTCTGACGGGCAGTATACGGCTCCTATGAGGTTTGGACACCCCTGGTGTAAGCTGTCTTACATAATTTTATTTGCAGCAGTTGTTTAATTTGATAAGTTTCCTGAACTGTAATCTTATGAAGAGTGAAATTGCTCGATAGACTTTAAAGCAGTTATACAATTCTGTTTGATTTAATATTTTTTTTAGACTTTACATTCAAATTGTATTTATTTTTATTAAGATTTTAAGATACCTCGTCCGCCGAATGCTTTTATGATTTTCTCCAGAGAAAATCGCACGAGCTTTAGATTAAATTATCCGAACGATTCCAATCAAGAGATTAGCATACGGTTAGGAAACGTATGGAGAAGGATGAATCCCGAGGGAAAGGCAATTTACTATCAGAAAGCTAAAGAATGTGACAGAAAACACAAAGAAACTTATCCAGGTATTACCGTATTTAAAATTACATCTTAAAAACCTTTTTAATACAATTTATTTTAATGATTCGATTAAAGAAAGAATAACACCTATTTATCTTATGCAAACAGTAAATTTAACTGCCACATTTTCATTAGCAATTTATACAATTGCAACTTTATAATTACATATTTCATAATAAAAATTTCTTCATTTAGGGTACATTTATAGACCAAGAAGAAATTGCAAACCCTTGAAACAGAAAAAAATGCATTCTTCTTTCATGGTAAATTATGAATCAAACAATATTAAATTACAAAGTCTGAATGAATTTTAAAAATATTTAATTTATAATCCAAGGCAATGACAGATTCTTTACCAGAATCAATTGTTAAAGTTAACATTTCTGAATCAGGTCTGTTCTTTTTAAAGATTTTTGTAGTTTCTTTAATAAAAAATTTAAAATTTATAAAAATATACATTCTATCAGAGCATACCGACGATGAGGATAAGTATTCCGAGTTTTGCTCGACTAAGAAAGCACTTCTTCTAATTCCTACCAACAAGATAATTAAACGTAATGTCAGTACGCAGACGGATGATCTTACGACTCGTACGTTGCATACGGACGTAAACCGAGACGAAGCTACCGAAGAAGAAAAATCTGCTTGGTTATCGTTTCTTAACAATTTCAGCCAATCAAAAGAAGCTGAATTTGAAAATGTAGATAATTCCTCACCAATTGTTACTGAACATCTTCATGCATCTGAAGAAGTATCGAGTAAGTTTATTTACAGTAAATTATTTTCTGTATTTTTTGTATTTCAAAACAAATCTTTTTTAATGCTTCAGATGCATATTCAGAGTTAACATATTTACTTCCTTTGGAATATTATCAGTGCGTTCCAGTTGCTTTACATTCTGCTATTTCTCAATTTTAATGCCTAATTCAAGTGTTTTTGTTGTAACTTATTTCGTATTTTCATCAGATTTTAAATATATATTTAATAATTTTATCTTGGATGACTGTAAAGAAGTTTTGTTAATGTTTCTGATCTACACTTAATGCAATTCTGTCAGTAATATTAAGTTCAGGTTTTTTAACTAAATTAAACTAATAAAAAATTTACTTTTATATCTTTATAATTAATAAATTTATATTTATTTCACAATAAATTAAATATATATTTAAAATAAACTTTTGATTCATTACTATTTGATAGCATGTATTTTAACTTCATGAATAATTTAATACATGATTGGTTCCAAAGTCTGGCCAGATTAGGTGCATGAAAGTGGTTAGTCACGTGCAATAATAATTCATCAGCACACCTAATTATACACCTATGTGTCTAAAGTAGACCATGGACTACTAGAAACTATACACGACACCACCACTGACATTCTCATCTTTCTTAGAAGCTGTATCTAAGGTTAAATTTAAGCAAACTAAACTAAGAATATAAGAAGTTGAAAAAATGTAAGTGTGCCCTGTACACAACACCATCTGTAGATGCCCAGTAAATTAATGTGGTAGCTGCAGAATTCCAAGTTTCCTTTTGTAATTTCATCTGGATTAAAGGTGTGCTGGACCATCAATTGCCAGAAATTCAGTGGTGTATCTGTATTTGTGTCACTGATAAAAACTTGGTAGAAAAATTGCATTTTATATGTTTAAAAACTCATAAAAGTTTTCATAAAACTCAAAATATTTTATTAAAACATGAACAATCTTAGTTAAAAATGTATATATATAAATATACATTCCAACAGTGTGAAAATATGCTAATTTATAACATTTAACAGTGTTAAAATGTTTTAAATTGTTTCAATTTTTATTTTAAAAATTACGAACCGATGATCTTCCATCTAATGAAAGCCTTTTACACATTCATTTGAAACAAATATGTACATGTAAATCTTCCTTATTAAGGACGTGCTTGACTTGTATTAAAATCTGTAAAAATGAAAGGCTTTCAGAGTATATCAAGTTTCGTAAACAAAACTAGAAAGTGTAACTTAAAATGAAGAAACATACTTTTGAAAAAATACAAATTTATTTCCTCACCTTTTAAATATTATTCATTTTATTCACCACAAAACAACATTATCCAGCTAAAAGTCTTAATCTTTCTTCATCGTCTTGCGAATCAATTTGAGATCTCTCATCGCCAGAATCGCGGCTATTAAGCAGTGAAATCAGTAAATTATTTTACAAAATAATATTTTATGTTTGCACATTTAAAAAAAATATAACACAAACCTTTTCAATTTTTCTGCTTCATCTATATTTTCTGGAAGTTCTCTATTATTAGTTTCCGGTAATAAAAATGCAAGAACCCCAGCAATAATTGTACTTACTCCAAAAATTATCATCGGTAACTTGGAATGAAATTGCCGCTGAAGAGATATAAATAAAACATTAATTAAACCTTAATTAAATCTAAATTTATTTTTATTTAAAAAAAGATTATACCATTCCAGCTATAAATGGTGCGACTATGCCGCCAAGTCGGGCGCACATACTGCTCATTCCAAGCCCCGTATTTCTTAAAACCGTTGGATAAATTTCCGAGGAATAAATATAAATGATTGAAAAAGATGCACCGATTGCAGCCTTCCCCAAAATTGCCATTATTGTTCCGTAAACTAAACAAATTTTCAAAGTAAGTTTGGTATTATATTAATTAATACAAAATAATAATAAAACTTATAAAACACATACTCTTTGGTATAAATGGAGTAGTAAGACAACAAATTCCTCCTAATATCATAACCCAACAGAGGACTGGTCGTCTTCCGATACGTTTCAGAAGTACCGTAGATAATGCAATGGCAGGTATTTCGACTAGAGCCATTACCGAAAAGCTTAAATAAACATTATTGCTGAACTTCGATGCACTAAGAGAAAGGCCATAATACACCATAGCATTTACAATCCTGTAATTTTATTGTACATGTTTAAGAAGATTTCAAATTAGCAAATCAAATTAAGAACTCTGAGGAGACACTTGCCAGTTAAAAAACAAATTTAAAGTCCATTTACGCATTGTTGGAGTTCTTACCAGATCTATTGGGTTTGAACGAGTATGTCTTGTATTCTCATGTAATCCAGGCTAAAAACAGAATTTAAATATTAAAATGTGCTTGAAAATTAAATTTATTTTCAAAAATTAACAATATAAATTCATACATCATTAAGCGATCTCAGTAAATTTTCTGGAATGGTTACTTTATTCCAAGATGCAGCTTTTAAAATAGTAGAACGTGCCTTATGAAATTGATTTTTCGAAATTTGCCACCTCGCTGATTCTGGTAACAGCCTTTCAAAATAAGAAATAAATAAAATAATAAAAAACTTTATATTTAAAATACTGCATTTTTGATATTATTAAACTTACCAATTGTAACCTAATAAAAGGACAGTCGGGGCCGATATTATTAATTGCAGAGTTTGCCAGTTCTTTTTAGAAATTGCCGCAGCACCGGCTAGCAACAGCTCTCCTACGGCAAACACCATTTGCAACGAGTTAGCACACCATAAACGTTTTGTTTTTCCGACAAATTCTATTGCTAAAATATAAATAAACGCACATAAATAAAAATTTGTTAAGAGTTACAACTGCTGAAAGAAATTGTCACTGCAGACATACCTAGGACATAACCGGTTTGAAACAATCCAGAGACACTTGCAGCTGTAACAAACCTCAAGAAAGAAAATAAGGGTAAACTATTTGCAAATGCAGTAGATATGGACGAAGCTGCCAGCATTGCAGGAGCTACTAGGAAAACAGATTTTCGTCCCCACCTATAACGTTTAAATATTTACAGGAAGTATTAGGTACTTAAGCTAGGTTTACACTGTCATACAAACTGCTTCAAATACTGTCCACATTGTATTATGCGAAACTAAGTTAGGACATGATTAGTGTTCAAAACCATTTTAATCATTCATGAAAAGTTAATTGGTCGAATGAACTAAAGTTGAGAATGCCTAAAGAACCAGTCAAACAGTTGGTGAAAGGAAACAGACCAGCAGTTCATACGCCAATGAAAACCTAGCTTATATAAACAAAAGCAAAATTACCTGTCCGCAGCATGTCCGAAAGTAACCGAACCAGTCAGAACTCCAAACATAAATAAAGCTTCAGACATCGTTTTCTTACTTTTCGATTTACAAACAAGTTTAAACTGCAAGAGAAGATCAAAAATAAGAGTGAATGTATTATTTTTATTATGACACCTTCGTGTAATAGTTTATTAATCAAACATGAATATATGTACACATTTACAAATCTACAAACATTTATTAGAGATAAATGATTACAATGGTCAAATATATTTATCTGTAATAAACATTCTGTTACATTTATAAGATGTGTGTACGTAAACACAATTCTGTTAAAGCAACTGATAAATCAGTCGAAAGGAGTTAGCTTATAAATGTAATTTAACCCTTAACTGGTATCGTAAATTTTTCAAACGTAACTGGTTTCATGGGGGCTGCGCGGCCCCCAAGCAAAATTTGCCTTTAGAGAGCAAGTTTAACAATGTGACAGTTCAAAAGGGCATAAATGCTAAATGAAACCCTTCTTTAGTATAAAAGCCTTTTACACATTCATTTGAAACAAATATGTACATGTAAATCTTCCTTATTAAGGACGTGCTTGACTTGTATTAAAATCTGTAAAAATGAAAGGCTTTCAGAGTATATCAAGTTTCGTAAACAAAACTAGAAAGTGTAACTTAAAATGAAGAAACATATTTTTGAAAAAATACAAATTTATTTCCTCACCTTTTAAATATTATTCATTTTATTCACCACAAAACAACATTATCCAGCTAAAAGTCTTAATCTTTCTTCATCGTCTTGCGAATCAATTTGAGATCTCTCATCGCCAGAATCGCGGCTATTAAGCAGTGAAATCAGTAAATTATTTTACAAAATAATATTTTATGTTTGCACATTTAAAAAAAATATAACACAAACCTTTTCAATTTTTCTGCTTCATCTATATTTTCTGGAAGTTCTCTATTATTAGTTTCCGGTAATAAAAATGCAAGAACCCCAGCAATAATTGTACTTACTCCAAAAATTATCATCGGTAACTTGGAATGAAATTGCCGCTGAAGAGATATAAATAAAACATTAATTAAACCTTAATTAAATCTAAATTTATTTTTATTTAAAAAAAGATTATACCATTCCAGCTATAAATGGTGCGACTNACATTCTGTTACATTTATAAGATGTGTGTACGTAAACACAATTCTGTTAAAGCAACTGATAAATCAGTCGAAAGGAGTTAGCTTATAAATGTAATTTAAATATTTATGTTATCCGTAAACCAACTTACATCTGATACAACTGTCGATTCAAACACTTCCTTATCCCATTTCCAATCATCACATTCTACTAATGTTTTAGTAAAACTATCTCTCGAACAACTAGTAGTGTTTGGGTACTGTTTACTTTCATAATAAGTACACTGATGCTCATCCAATGAATCGTCTCCGCTTCCATCTTTGGGTATAGCATATTCTACCCACGGTTCATTGTAGTCGGATGTAGAATTATCACAGGTAGGAACGTAACATCTGTAGTTAATTTTAAAATGTTTATAAACTTAAATTTAACAACAATGATAAATAATAATTTATAAAAATTATTTATTGTCATTCTAGTCCTTTGCTATTGTTTAAGCCTGCTTTCTGAGGTTTGAAGTTTGGTCCCAATTGGATGTTCGGAAATATGCATGGTTGGTATGTTCCGGAGATGTCAGGTCATCTTAAAATGGATTGTTTAAATCCATAATTTTTTTTTTTCCTTTTGCTGTAGGTACTAAACTGGTCTGCAAGAAGGCCAGTTTAGTATCTACCGTAAATTCCATAACCCACCATAACAGTCAATCTCACAATGGGGAAACTGGGCGGTGAGGGAAGTGGCCCAACATTTCTGGGACGGACCATCCCCAAAAATCTTTCTGTGGTTTTCAATCTGACCAGATTCATTCCAAGTCCCCAGAACAGTAGGCTGACACCTTAACTGTTTGATCATTCTGCCATCAACTAATGGCAACACCAAGCATGGCGATGAAGACCAAACCAGGTGATGCCAAAGTGAATACTTATAAAATTTTTGTGCAATTTTTCAGTCAAAATTTATTATTTCTATTATTATTATTTTTTTAATATTCCTATAATTAGTTATAAAAAATTTTTGTGAGCTTGGCTCACACGTGTCAATATACCTACAACACTAAAACTCCGCACTAACTTGCTTTTTGAACTTCCTAATGCATTCCTGTTGAAGCAGCAGTTATTACCGGGTCACAATAAAAATATGATTACAAAATTGTAATTTTAATTTTGCTAATTGTTTTATGTTATTGAACATTATGTATGAAAATTACAATGTTTGAGTAACATTAATACATAGAAAAAATTTACTAAACGGTCTCTTACGAAAAGAGATCTGCGGAGGCGACACTACGAATTACCGCACCAAGCGAGATAACGGTCACCAGATACTTGGGGATTAATCGAGTTCTTCCCAAAGATACAGGGACGGGTGACGGACGTGTACTGTACTCTGCCGCGATAGAAATTATTGTGAAAACACAAGATATTTCAGCCTAAGAACAGTTTTTAGAATAAAATCCTCCCTTTGCCGGAGGGCGTTTGGAAAAAATCCGCGACATCTCTCACCCTAGCAACGTTGCCGCCGTAAACCCACGCAGGGTACGAGAACGAGCCATCCTAATGCCCACAGGGGAGGGAGAAAGAATTCAAAAAGAAAACAACAAACGAAAAGTTAAGATAAGCTGCAATTTAAAAAAAAAAAAACAAAAAATAAATGATAAATCCAATATCAATGTAAGTCAACTGACAGACTAATCAAAAAAATCCAGTTGAAAGATTATTTTAGATTAGATAATTAACGAACGAAACACCCCCTTAACTAAACGATAGGTAATGTATTCCCTCTAACAATTAGTTCCAATTCTTCCAATCGTAACAAAGTTATTCGCGACGAGTAATTCGATTGGTCTAGAAGATTATTCCGCGAAATCGACAAGCCAATCAGCGACGCCCGGAAGAAAAAAAAAAGGAAAATCGAAAAAGCGTTCGCAACGGCGGACGTCATTGGCCGACGGATCGTCGATCGTTTCGAAATGTCAAATCGGTAGCGATTTCCCGAACGAGATGCTCTTACCTGTGTTCGGGCACGTATTCGACGAAAACGCTAGAAAGCATATGAATCCCAACGAATATCTGTGGTATACAAGCTAATATATAAATATACAATTGAAATCTCCCGAACTGACCGAGATGGGCCAGAATTTCGTCGATTTCCCTATCTCCTTTGTCTTCTTTTCCCATATTTCCGATAGGAGAGAGAGGCGGAAACTATCGACATCACACTATAAACACCAGTCCGACTATGAAATACGTTTCACTCGTTAATGGAGAGTTGTTACGTGGCATCGACGTCACGTACAAGAACGAAACGAGTTAAACCACGAGATTATATTATTGTTGTTATCCATGCGTTTACTATCAGCTCGATGCCTGCGGGGACACGTGACCGAGTGTCAACCGTTGGCAATTGAGCGTTCGGGTAAATGCTGTTTATATTATAACAGATTTCGGGTTCAGCACGCAAAAAATACCGAATTATTGTTAAAATTTCGCTCCGAATCTTCCTCCATTTTATATTATTTCGATTATTATTATATTATATTATTAACTAGAACAATATTTATCGGTTTATTATCTACACTCCGCAGGTAATAAGTACATTTTCATTACGTTTTTGACAAATTAAAAATGTAATTTAAGTTATAACTTATAACAGGCAAGAAGGAAACAGATTAGATATATAATACTATGCTCTTGATATTAGATATTATTTCAAAATGTAGTAAGTATTTGTATACATTTGTACACATTTAAACATGCTTCAATCTTGTAGAAATCTTTCACACGTTTCTTTATCTATATTAAAATAGTTCGTTGTATTTGATTTATTTAGTGCGATAATAATTTATACCAACAGTTGATATTTAATAATTTAAACTATTATTATACCTATAAAGTTTGTTGTTACTAAATAAAAATTCTAATTCTCCGAATCTTATCTTTAACCTGCTAGGCCTGTAGTCTGTATAGTAAGAGTAGACATGAGTCAGCCTGAGCTGGAAGGGTATATGTCACATGAAAGTTCACACATTCTACTTCTTTGTCTGGCATTATAGGCCTTGGAGTCCCTTAGCCATAGTCACAATCCTTCTCCACCTCGTTCAGTCTTCCAATCTTCAATTCCGAGGTCTTGAAGACCTTAAGTGACCCCATCTATCCACCCTTTTCTGGGACAACCTCTTGTCCTCTTCCCTTTCCTCTCATAGTGGAGCCCTCGTGATGCTGTTGCTATTGCAGTTAGCCTTATGACATGGCCAGCCACTATAATCTTCTGGCCTTAATCACTTGTGTGATAAGAGCTTGCAGTAGGTTGTCTGCAGTTCCTGGTTTGTTGTTCTCTCATTGACCATGATACCATTATTACAGTAATAAATTTGTAAAAAGTAGTAAAACAATAAAATTAATGATGAAGATAGTATAAAAACGTTTTTAAAATGTAAAAGACAAAACAGCTGAAAGAGATAAGATCCATGTGTCAATTCCCACATCTTCCACCCCTTTTATTTGACAGACTTAGCTCAGGCTGACTTGTGTCTATTCTTTCGCTGCACGGACTACAGTAGTTTTTAATCATAAAGTTTGAAATTGTTATAGATATGATGCATATGGGTTGAACTTCACTAATCCTATAAAAAATTTTTGTGAGCTTGGCTCACACGTGTCAATATACCTACAACACTAAAACTCCGCACTAACTTGCTTTTTGAACTTCCTAATGCATTCCTGTTGAAGCAGCAGTTATTACCGGGTCACAATAAAAATATGATTACAAAATTGTAATTTTAATNGCTGCACGGACTACAGTAGTTTTTAATCATAAAGTTTGAAATTGTTATAGATATGATGCATATGGGTTGAACTTCACTAATCCTGCAAGCTTTGGACCGGACAGGTGCCCAGTAGTGTAGAATCCAAATTCGGCGAAGCTTAGAGTTAAAAAAATGGCAATATAGTAATATCTGCACCAACATAGCAACATCAAGCTGCATTGTAAGTAAGCTGAGGTTGATGTTACCAATATGGAAGCAACAAGTGGTGCAACAGCAAATTTGTATTTGCCAAATGACAGCTGTGTCATATTACCAAATACAATGGTAATATGACACAGCCAACTAAGCAACGTCGTGCAAACCGATAATTGTCGGATTCAAATTGCTATCCCATATCGTCGAAGCTGCCGGACTAGCGAGGTTTGGCCAACCAAAAATTTCCGATAAGTTATAATAGTATATAAAATGTAAAATTTTCATTTAAATACACAAGTTGGAATATAATACAAACATAACATCGATCTATTGATATTTTAATACAGTGCTTTCCCGAATTTGGCCTTTTATAATATATTTTTACATCCATTCCTAAGATATGTAATATGTAAAAAGATTACTAACCACTAATTTAGAGATACTCTAAATTAGTGGTTAGTAATCTTTTTTATTTGTGAGCCACAGTTGGCCAACAATTGACATTTCATAGTGTGCAGCAGATCAACGAACATTTTTTTTACAATGCAATTAATCAATAAAACCAAAAAAAGCATCGGGTTCAATTTGAAGTTTTATTTATATGTATGAAATATATTTATGTTTATAGAACTTTCTAAAATGACAAAGTAGCCCTTATTCTAAAGATCTTTATTTCTAGGCTATTTTTGGAATGTGGAGACTTCAATCCTTCCTGCAGATATACCTGTGCCAGAACTGTCACAATACAAATCACATTTGCCTTTACATAATGGTAAATAATTAAAATATTTTGACAAATGCTAAGTTTATGTTTGTGTATATTCATTGAAATTGTTGAGGCCCATCGGTGGCCGAGTGGATAAAACCACCGAACACTCAGTTGCAGGTTTGTGCCCAACTGATAGGCTGGCTGCATGGAGTGTTCTGGGTTTTCTTTGTATCTAACATCTAAACAGGGGCAAATTTCTTACTGAAAATCATCCCAGAAAGCATCCTTATCTTGGCAGATTGACCACAAATTACATTATGTTATCCCATCAATCGAAATTGAATCATTCCATGATGTAAGGATCACAGGCTGCTGATCATACCTTAAATAAAATAATGTTTTAAAAAATAAAGGCCATATAGAGGGCCAGAATTATACAATTATGAGCAGGCCCAACTGCCATAGAGTTGATAATCATGGGAAATAATGCACAACATATACATTCTGTGATAAATTATGGTCAGAACTGAGTTCCAATTTGAATTCTTGTAGTGGTAAGCTGACACTAAACTATGCAGCCACTTGGCCAACATAAGCTAAATGAATGTAACTCTTACTAAATTTAAAACAATACATTTAATAGAGTTCTGTTTTACTGATACTTTATTCTTCTCCATTTTTACTTTATTGGGCTTCAGTTGAAAAAATTGTAGACCTGTAAATTCCCACTACCGTCCGTCCCGTCTTTCCTTAATCTCGAGAATAGAGCTGGATAGATGAAAGGCGAGACCAGGTATGGAAAACCTTAGGGTCGGGAGGCCCCAATTAACAATATACAAACTTCCGATTCAAACCGGAAGTCACATTACTTCAATTCAAAAATTTTCCCTGAAAGGTGTTAGATAGATGACTGGTATGACACTATTGTTAAAAGAAAAGTGAAAAATATGATTTAAAATTGCAGCCTTGCATTGTCACAATAAATAATTGCTCATATTAATTACAAAATTACACAAGCAATAATAATTCTGATAGGTGATTTATGGTTCATATTGAGTCGATGCTGGGACACCTTTTATATGTAATATATAATGGTTTATTGTTTTTAATTTGCTGACATAATTATCAAAATTCATTGCAAATTATTAATTTTCTATAAAAATTTTTTAAGGAGAAAAAAAAATATATTAGATTTTAGATTGTAGTTCAAAGAATGTAGGAATATAAAATGAAATATAAGACACTATTAATTTTGTAAGGAGAACAGCCTTATTAACATACCTTTATATATTTCCTTGATACTTTTAGGCATGCTGACCCATCCTGTGGTTAAAAAAAACAAAAAACCCGAAAGTACTAGAAATTTAGAAATTCACATCAATAGCGAGGTTGAGGCCGAAGTTTTAAATGCAAAAACGTGTACGTTGGACGTTCAGCGCCGCTTTCCTGTAAACCTAGAAGTTTGACAATGGTGTTTGGAATGTCGAGCATGATTCCACTGACTATCCAAACACCATTGTCAAACTTCTAGGCTTACAGGAAAGCGACGCTGAACGTCCGATGTACACGTTTTCGCGTTGAAAACTTCACCCGCAACCTCTCTATTCTTTGATGAGACTACTACTATTGTGTTAAGTAAAGCTCTTATCAACCTATATTGGTATTAATATTTGTTTACTAAGAAGTGTTAAGTAAATGTAATATGAATAATAAACATCAAACATAAATAAATAGAATTTGAGGTTAATCTACATAAAAAATATTAATACTGAATAGTGAGATCGTAAATTATATATAAATCATTTAATATTATAAACGAAATTATAAATTGATTTTTAGAAACATTTAAAAATAATATCTATACATAAATGTCGTATAAAGTTTCCTGAATGAGTACGATATACGGTGTGACCCATAAGTCAGTTAACGAGGTTTGTTTTACGTATTATAAACATAATCTGTCTGTGAGTATTAATCGTAAAATGAGACATATATGATTACACAATAAATATATCTATTTTAATTGTTTATATAAATATATGAGAGTGAAGTAAATAAATAAGGGCCTATCTAACATTCAAATGATAGATAGGCCCTTCTATAAAGAAAACTTTCTGTGTGAGAATAAATTTTATATAAATAGTAGATTTTTATTTTTATCCCTCTTTTTTTATTTGTTATATAATTTATACTTCAGATTTTATTTGTTTATATTTACATTAAAATTTGAAGAAGATAAATCTTATATATACTATAATGAAATTTACTATACTTTATAATAAATTCGNGGGAAAAACATTCGGCAACATCAGAAGCAGAAGCGTCGCGATCTGGCAACATTGAAACAAGTTTCGAGAAGGACCACGTGTATCGACAGAAGGTGAGAAGAGAAAATTTACATACTTAAGTACTAATAGTTCACGAAAATAATAATTTTCATGAACTATTATTATTTATGTAAATATTTATTACATTTCATGTTGTACGGGGATTTTACCCAATTCTCGAACCGTGTTAGAGTGAATCCGTGCTATAGAAGTGCCGTGTTATATGGGGGTTACCTGTACATTCTGTGATAAATTATGGTCAGAACTGAGTTCCAATTTAAATTCTTATAGGCCTAGTGGTAAGCTGACACTAAACTATGCAGCCACTTGGCCAACATAAGCTAAATGAATGTAACTCTTATTAAATTTAAAACAACACATTTAATAGAATTCTGTTTAATTGAT